ACATCCCTCAAGTGAATTTGTCTCGACAATAGAAAATCTCATCGCTTAATTTCACACCATTTTCCCAAAACCACCAAATCCCACTGACGGTGAAAAATGTTAATAGGAATTCTTGCCAAATCCCCAACCAAATGATAAATAAAAAATCACACACACACACACCAAATTTTCAATTAAATCCAACTCAGACGAATTAGAGTGCGGGAGAAACTCCCACAATTAATAGGAAATTAGAGAAATTAATTTTCACCCACGACTCTGCACAGTGTGCTTAGGAGTGAAAAAATCCCAGACTTCGCATTGGTGGATAAATCAAGGGGCAGAAATTATGATCAGAAGTGGTGTACTGCTTTTAAGGAAGTGTTAGGAATTGAAAGTGGTAAAATATTTCAATTATCTGGATTGCAAAAGCTTCTTTTTCAACAAATTGATTCATTTTCTTCATTATTTTGCCAAAAAATCAATTTTATTGCTTTTCTAAGTTATGTGATTGATTTAAGACAGATTCTTGTGTTCAAGTAACCCTTGAAATTATCAAATTTGTGTTTAAGTTGAGAATATTTAAATTTTTCTCAGCAAAATAGATCATTTTTTTCCGGAAAAACTTAATTTTGATTGAGAAAAGGCTTTAAAATCGATCATAACCTCAAAAAATATCATTTCCGTCTAGAAGAATGTCTCTTTGCTTAGTTATTTTCACACTTTAAGCTTTAAACTGGCAAAATTTAACCTAATTATTCATTAGAAATATTGTGATATGTGCTATATTTACTACTTTTCAGTTTCGAAAGGATTAAAATTAGTCAAAAAACGACACAAAACTCCAGACAGAAATTGTTCTGGAACAAATCCTGGAACATTTGATATGCTTAGAAGATTCTGCAGAGGAATTGTGGAAGTTCTGAGGAAAATGGTGTACAGATTTAGGGTATATAAACTCCTCCTTGGTGGATATAATTAAAACGTTTCCTTGCGAATGGGAGAGAAAATGAGGAGAGGGTGAAATTTATTAAGCCACTGCACTATTTAATGCAATTTTCATTCACCAACTGCCACTACACAGAGGGCAATTAAATCCCGGACAATTTCACTCTTTTCCGACCCCATCGTGAACTCCGTCGTCGTCGTGAATTCACAATGGGAATGTAGGAAAAGTGGACATAAATGGGAATTTGCCCTATTTCTTGACTTTCCCCACCACGCCTCGAGTGTGCCTCAATCTCACCGGAACACGTCAGTGGCCAATTAGCAAGACGGCAAAAGACAGGAAAACCTTATGAGAGCGAGAGCAATTAAATATGCAACAATTTACGTCCAACTTCCTGCCACTCAGATTCCAAATAAACCACTTTTTTTTCAACTCCGCACAAATGGCTAGACATAGAATTCTTGGGAGTAGAAATTCATCAGGCGCGGCAAATTCAAACACCCTCTCTCTCGTATAGTGTGATTTCACGGCATCATCACTCAATTGCATCTCCGCGGAATGATACAGACGAACAGAGAGCGTGTGCAGGGATTAATTTTCATCATGAGCAAATTTCATTTCCATCTGCGCGCACAGAAACACACGAATATCTGCAGAGATATTCCACATCCATTTCCCACCGCCCCATCCCTCGTCTTCTGGGGTGGATGAGATGAGAAAGGCCAACGTGTGACAGTGAACGTGATATAGAATCCCAGACTCTGTGCGAATGGACAATTCTCGGGGTGGATGATGAAGGTGTCACTGAGAGACAATGAAATGTTGATTTCGCACAGAAATGGAGAGCCACTCTTCCTCTGGACGCACACACACAACATATTAACTCCCAATTATGATAATTGATGGCGGTAGATTAATCTTTTCCTTCCTGCCATGCTGTCTCATCCACTTTTTCCTCACCCTCCTGTGCACCTCTCTAATTTCCCACTGAGATGCTGAGACAGATGCCCGGAGATGTCCACATGTCGCTCCTCCTAATTTCCCATCGATTTCCGAGACACTGTGAGCCAACACACATATTCACAGGAATGCCGTTGAAATTCCGGTGAAAATTCAGGTCAATACCTGACCTGAGAGGGTGTGAAATTGATTTAATCATCCCACACCTTCAGACACAAGACAAAAATATGGGTGCGGCCGGGAGAGCATCATGGAAATCCCATGATAGCTTCACTTCGCATCGGATATTAAACTCAGTGAAATCCCGCGGGGATTTCGCTTCATTTGCCCTTTCACACTTCACTCCCGCGACCTCAACTGGGTGGGATTTAATGGACTTCCCCCTGCGCTCTGCCACGCGAGCTAAAGGGAAAAGTGGCAAAAAAATCACCCAAAAATTCTCTGCAGCAGAAGAAAATGACTAAAAATCATTTGCATAAACTACAGGAAGAGGAAATTTCGGTAAATAATATCACATTATCTTGACGAATGATGGAGAAAATGAGCGACGAAGGAAATTTATTGTAATATTTGGTGAATTTGAAATTGATGGGAATTTCCGGGAGTTAAATCACAATTTTTCTTCCTTTCTGGGATAAAATCCCCGAGATTTTCTCACTCTCTCTCTCTCTTTCTCCTGTCAAAAAATACAAGGGAGATAAATTGACACTGTATATAATTTCATGTCTAGGAGAAGGCATAATTTCTTATCAATTATTGATTGTGTGTTCCTCAAACTCACGCCGTGTGACAGAAATGAAGATGAGTGAGGGAGAGAAAACACACCATGTTCAATTGCTTCTTATTTACAATATCCATCTTAATGTCTTTCTCAGGGCTTCAACGTCTGGGGAGTCGCGCCCCGAATCTGTGCGCGCCGGGAGAAAAGCGACAAGAGTAAGTAAATAACATGAAATGTGTGAGTCACACAGAACGGAGGAAATTTCCTCGGCTGCAAGTGTTTATCTCAAACATTATTGGAAATGATGAAAATGATGATAAATTGCGGAAGTGGCGTGGAAAGGGGAGCCCGAAAGAGGCGCTCATCATGAGTGGGAAAGATGGACGGTGATGGATAAAGAAAGGTCTGTGAACTTTTCTGTGCCTCTGCGTGTAAAATCACAGACAATTTCCTCCCTCCGCCCCGGGATTTCTCACACACACAAAAAGGGTCAGAGGAGGAAAATCATGAAGAAGAAATGACGGAATTCCCGTAATCTTGATGAAAGTGAAGTCGTGCATTGAAAATTTATACATTCTCCTCAACTCGCCCCCGAAAAAAGATGTTCAATATTTTCCCTTTTCCACATAATTACTCTCCATCGCTTCCCATTTCCATCGCCTTCGGTCACTCTCTCTCTTTCTTTCTCTCTGTCTTCTTCTTCTGCTTCATTTGCAACGTGAAAACTTTGAACATTCCCTCTCCACCCTCCTTAATTATTATCAACAGCAAAAGGAGCAAGACACGAGAAATACCCAAAGCTGAAATGTATCCTTCTTCTCTCCGTGCATTTTTACACGGAGAAACCGGGAGAAAGAGAGAGAGAGAGAGAGTAAAAAACATTCATCCAGACATGATTTAATAGGAGGGAAATTAAATTCTCAAATTATTCCCATTTCCCAGTCACTCCTCCGGGGCATGTGCAATTTGTTTATCCACATACACCCAGGCCACCCCCCGCCAGCACAACTTCCGGCCAACTCCTCAGGGAGGTTACAAAGTCATTTGCTCTCCCGGAAACACCCAGACTCACTCTCACACCCCAGCAAATTGTGCTGAATGAGGAAATTGCAATTCATTGTCTTAATATCTTTGGTTTGTCTCCCTTGCATGTTGTCAGATGATGAGTGAATCTCTGACATGACGCGCATTTATTATTTTCCTCCACACGGTGGAATTTTAAATTATCTCCCATTTTATCAGTATTCAAGGGAACAAAAAGTCTTGTGCACATTCACCAAAAATAAACTAAAAAAGACTAGAAATTTGCTGGGAAAAGCTGCCATAAAAGAGAATTCGCTAAAAGTTGTTGCAAGATTACGATTCATATTATCTATCTAATATATGAGAATTTATCTTCTGCAGGATCTGAATTGTTTCAAACGTTGACGTCTGACGTCAATTCATATTTTTCGACGCGTGAAGACACGAAAAGCCAAAAAATTCATGAGAAAACTAAAGAATTAGACAAAAATGATGTTTTTAAGTAAATAAATACATATTTATTGGATTTATTTCAATGCACCAGATTGAGGTTATGTGTTTAAAACCGCGCTTTACTCACACTGAAGAACATGTCCAAACTTCCACGTTTAATGGATGTGCCAGAATCTGGGCGGAAGTTGGAATATTCTGCCTTAAAACCACTCTCAAAAAGCAAATCTCGCACTTTACATCTGCTCAAAAATATCAGCAATAAAATGACCAGCTTCACCTTGCAACGCCTTCTTGTTTCTATTTAATTCGTACTTTATACAAGCGATTGGTATTTTATACGGACTGAAATACGAAATCAGTAAAGTTGCAACGAGCGGAAAAAAGGATTCTTTCGCTTCGCTAAAATGCGTCACCCTAGCATTTTTCCTCTGATTATCTACGTCGCGTTGAACTCTCTTGAGCCCAGAAGCGTGAAGTCATGCCTCGACCTAATCCTCCCCTGGCAGGTGAGACTCTCTCTTCTGTCTCACTCTCGAGAGGCCAAACAGTCAACTATGCACACACACACGCGCCTGGATTTTGAGGTGTGCTCCACACATCCACGCGGAGACAAGCGTTATGAGCACACCTGTCCAAAGTCGCTCTACCGAAAACTCCCTTCGTCTCCCGGTCTCGGCAGCGTCTCAAGCCGTAAATCCTCTCATCCAGCCATCCCACAGGCACTCCAGCAGATGCTTCCCATGGGAAAAATGCCCTCAAGACCAATTTCTTGTGACACAATGGCTACGTCATCATTCCCAATTGCTGGACACACTCTCACATGGACGCCTCCAGTCTGGCTGTGGCTTGAGTGTGTGTCGCGCGCGCCTTGTGGATGAATAAAAATACACGGTATTAATTTGTGTCTCACAAACGCCACCAGCGCGACTCATTGAGGCAGAGTTTGGTGTGGCGAGTAGTTTCGAAAAGACACCCATTCAGCATTGTGTGTGCCCTTGTCCCGTGGACTCCGTGAATCCCTGGCAAAAGGGACAGATCCCTGTGAAAATCACATCTCTCCACCCACTTTGGTGAGCCACACTGTGGATTTTGTGGTGAAAATGTGTGAAAATCCTGTAAAAGTGCCACAAAAACAAATGGTCACACCCTTTTTTCCCCATCTCAGGCCGCACTGTGCTGGCCAGAGCATTTTCACATTCAATCTCATGTGGAATTTTCGTGGGCTAATTGCCACTTAATTGCTTTAGCAAGAGTTTGGGGGGAAAAATCTCCTTTGAGACCCGTCATTAGCCTTTTTTCTCACCCACTTTCTCTGGATATTTAGGAGCACAGTTGAACAAAAAACTTTCAATTTTCCGCCTCAGCGTCTTTTGCGAGGGAAAGAATTTCTTAAGGCACGCGGTTCTAGTTGAAACCAGTTTTCAAGCATCACGCGTCCTATATAGAGAGAAATTTCTAATAAGAACACATCCCAGTGAAATTGAGCTTGCAGAGATGAGTCAGAGTGACTTAATTGCTCTGAATTCTTCACACAAATTGTGCTCTATTGCGCTTACTTGAGAGTGCTTTTTGAGACGTGTTTGGATGCATGGCAACGCGTCGTTGTGGAAAAAAGTCCCCCCAAATATCAACATCTTAACTGTTTTCCCCTCTTCTCTCTCTGTCTTCCCACCTCGTGTAGACATGAACAATCGTCTTGGTCGTGAGTAAGAAGAGAAATCCACGAAAGAGCACTCAAAAGGTTCCCCAGAGGGAGAGTATCATGTCAACTATTGAAGAACGAACTGCCTATCTGGACAATCCGTTCTTCAGCAAGCACTTGTACGGCAACTTCTCGCCCTTCTACGTTACCATCGGCATCTGCACACTCCTGGGCGTCTTCCTCTTCGTCCTCAACATCATCTTCGGCTGCTGCTCACGCCATCGCGACTACTGGCAAGATCGTCACACAGGCAATCGGTGGCTAGTGTCAATTTGGTCAGCCACGCCGCACAAGCAACCGCCGCTGGACCTCACAGAGCTGAAAGACGTCGAGGCCTTCCATCCCTACAAGATCACAGTAAGGATCAAAGTTGAAGAGGTTCTATTGAGACAATTGGCTCTTTATAATTCGGTGGACATCCTTTAATCGCAATTAATCGGTCATTGCTGTTGAATGTTCCAGATGAAACGTACGTTTCACTGGTATTGTCTTGCGTTCTGTCCCTCTGTATAAGGTGGGGTTTAGAACCACTTATGGTTGGTCGGCAAACTGACAATCTGCCACAGTGAAAACAATACTTGTCAATGGAAGAGAATTCCTATCATTTGTGTGAAAATAACGATGCCAATTTTACCTTCGCAGGGAGAGGAGCCCGAGTACGTGGCCACCCATCATCGTCCGCAGTACGAGAGCCGCCACTTGCAGCCGGCGCATCACCAGGAAGAGTACGTGGAGTTGCACAAGCGCGAGAGTGACATCTAAGCCAAAGACAATGGTGTTCATCGCTCTCTTCCCGGCCGTCGCCATGCTCGCCATGTTCATTGTGCTCATAATAATGGTCATCCTGCGCCACGGGGAGCGCATCTGCAATCTCCGCCACCGTGCCTTCCCGGACGATCGAGAGCTGAGCGAACTGGCGTACGAGCAGCGCATCAGCGTGGCCTAATCTAACTCCCTTGCACACCGTCCAATCCGTCCATTGCAACATCCGTAGTCTGATCTTTTTCTACCGCCCCTTTTTATCATCAACTCAGCGTTCACGCGCAAGTGTTTCTTTTTTTTTATATACAAAATCATGGAATACTTTTGAGAATAAAGTAAACTTACACGTCGAACTTATCTATGATAATCCGATTGCCTTCCTCCTCGAACTCCTCGCGAGTGACGCAGGCTTTGAGGAAGTCCGGCTCTTGGCTGAACTTTTTGCACCCTTGCCACGCAGAAATCATGGGTTTCTCAGCTATTCGCACGCACACATTGTACTCTTCAGGCGCCAAAGCGCGGATTTCCCTCTGCAATCGCGCTCCCATGCCCGGAAACTGGGCGGATCCGCCGCAAACAACAATATTGGACAGCAGGTGCTCAGCTGTTTCCGGCGGACAAGCACTAACGGCATCCAAGACCGCCTCTGGGATGCCCATCTGTTGGATTCCGATGTCTGATGGGTGGAAAAACAGCTCTGGGATGGAAAATCTCTCGTTGTTCAGCACCAAAACCTGATGATCTCCCTCATTGCGTGTAAAATCACGCAAATATCCTCTCCTGATTGACGTGAAATCAGGCAGAATATACTCTCGGATAATTGTATTGTCCGGATGACGCTTCCGGGCAATCTTCATGTCCTCAGTGAAGTTCTGGGACACAAAACATGAATCTTCCTTCACCTGATTTATCACATACGATTCGTCCATGACATTTAGTTGCCTGAAATTTGCCATAGAATTAGAATTCAACATTCTCAGGATGAGGATTGGAAACTCACCGATACGAGACAATCTCCTTCATGTGATTTGTGAGAACTTTCCCGCCAATATCAATTCTCCGGATGGCGGATTTCTGTTTTCTCCCCTTGATGAAGGGAACAATGTGGGTGAAACTGTAGCCCATGTCAATGATCACGCATCCCAGGGGTTTGGATTGCTTCTTGGAGCGACTCAGGTAGCTGAAGGCACACATATCCGCCGCTGTCGTCCGGAACATCCTCTCGAATTCGTATTCCTCGAAGAATATCTCCGACATTGCCTCCTGAATTGAGTGGAAATTGAACAGTGGCTCAGTGACTATCAGCGGATTCTCCGAGTAGTTGACGCCACAGCATTCAGCGCTAAACATGTAGTCCCACACTGTCTTCTGGATGTCCCAGTTCACGAGATATCCTCGCTGAAAGCACAGAATGTAGTACAGTCCGGACACATCGCGGCACTCCTCAATCTGATCTCCCACGAAAGGTCGTCGGCGCTCAGACTTGGCCTTCATGATGCAATTGGGAACGATTCTGTGGAAAATTCAAGGTAAATGGTCAGGAAAAGTGACACCAAACTGAGGTTATGCTCACCAACCTTGGAGAATCCTTCTGAGAAAACCCAATTTTCGCCGTATAAGCCCCATTGTCCAGAATCAATGTGTTCATTGTCACTTCCTGCACCTCCCAATAATATCTTTAAATGCGTGGGGTTCGTAGTTTCCCAGGAAAAAGCACTTAAATACGAAGCAGAGAACACTTTTCACCGCTTTTGTTTACATGCCAGTGCGAAATGAAACTAACATCCACTTTCCAACTCTGCCGTGGCGCTGCAATCAGGAAAGAAGACATTCAAACTCCGCGCCAACAGAAATCAGCACGTGGTGGGAAAGAAAACTCTTGTATTTTTCCTCATATATATATTTTCAGAATTCTTATTGTATAACTTTTTACAGAACATCATGCAGTTAATTGCTTGCTGTCCTAGCAGGACAGAAACTAAAGAGAGATAGAGAGAGAGAGCAACAACAAAGAACAACTGAAACTCAACGACATTCCTTTCGTAATTCGCGCGCTCTTGCAAATCCACCCTCGCACATAGAATGTGAAAACGCAGGCAAAACAGGCGATAAATAGGAAATTTCTTTTTTTAGAGAAGCTAAGGAAAGTATTAATGGTCAATTTTGAACATTACTAGATTGTGGTTGATAAAAGGCACCGCATCAACTCAAAAACGTGATTATATGGAATTTCTTCTCATGAGATTTTTTTCCTCTTTATCATACAATTGTATAAGATTATTAGACAGAAATATATTTTGTCAAGCGCATAGAGTAAGTTTTTTTTTGCATATTTCTTCCCTTCCTTCCTTGCTTTTATCTTTCCAGTGAGTCTATAATTCATGATCATGTTAATTACAATACTTTTGCTAATGTCACTTGTTTTTTTTTTTCTTTAATACTACATTCAAATAGAGCCCAAACGAAAAGCGTCTCTCGATATGGGGGGAAAATGAAGGAAATGAAAAGAAGGAATGAGAGAGAAAAAGGGTCACTTTGTCACATTGAAATTGAAATTAATATGATTTTCTTTTGCATTTGTCCTTCTGTGAGGTATATTATTTTACTCTCTAATGATGAGTTTTATATATCAACGAATATCATTTAAATAATTTCCACCCGAAAATGTCTCTCCTTCAACCCTCCTTTTGTCAACAGGAGATTATACAGTTGTTTATCAATAATCTTGTGTAAAGAGAACGACATTATAAAACGTCCAACAAGAATTCTTTTCTGCTAAAAATATTCTCCCATCATTTTTGTTTTTAGAATGCAAACACAAGAAGTCGACATTGAAATACTCTTACTATGTTTCCTCTTCTGCTTCCCTTTTTTAAATCCTCTACAATTCCCATTTTTGTGTGGTTCTCTGGTATAAATGAAGCCTCTAGAAAGGGACTTAAAACCATCATATTTTCTTTATTTCCTATGTTGCTTCTCAAATGATGCCCTTTTTCTTATCATTATAAACATTCTCGCATAAATGCTATGACAAAGGACGCATGAGTTTTCCCATATTTACTCCACAACAGTGAGGCTCAAAAGTGTCCTTGCGTTGAGAAATGAAAGAATCAAAAGAATTTTGAATCAAATCGTGTGAAATCTGCAGAAGATTTTTAGTTCTGCTGAATGTTTCGAGTCCTGTGAATTGACTCTAAAGACGGGGAGTCGCGATTTTCCCTGGACGATATCCTTTCGATGATCCCTTTGGTTAGATTCTTGATGTCACAAAAAGCCTCTTTCAGTGGTTTTCCACGGACACTTTTCATCCTCACTGTTTTTGCGTCCTTCTGAGTAGCGAATACAATTAATTATTTCTCATTTTATCTACGAATTATTCTTGCTTTTTTTTGTCCCAATTCCTCCTCTACATTTTTTTCCTCATGATATTGCCACTAAGAAATTTTCACTACGAGTAACAATGAATGCTGCCCACGGTTTTCCACAGAATGCCAGGAAAATAAGATGTCTTTTGAACGTACCCATGAGTGGCATAAAAGAGTCTAGGCGTTGCTCTCCTTGAGATTCTGCAATCTCTCCAGCTGATGCGGCGCCAGTTCTTCCGGGATGCTCGCCCGTCCGCCCACAACCTGCTTCGGTGGCTCCGGATCACCGGCAAACGCATCCTCGAAGTTGGCCGAGAAGTCAGCCTCGAAGTTCGCCTCGAACTGCCCATCGGCGCCAAAGGGATCGGATTCGGGAGGGGGAATGGCGTCCGGAGGCTTCTCAGATGGCGGTGGCAAGTCCTCACCGAAGTCATCCAGCTCCTCAGACTCATCCACTTGCGGAGGCGGCGGTGGGAGATCCTTTTCCTCCTCTTCTCCTTCCTCCTTCTCCTCAGCCTTCGGGGGTGTTTCTGGACTCTTGCTCTCCTTGGCTTCCGCCTCCTCAGCCTCCTCCGCCTCGACATCCTCCTCCACCGGCGGGAAAGTCATCTCGGGATGCTCAGCCATCGGCGTGGCGGCCGTGACAGTGACATGAACCACATTCAGCCCAGATCCATCACCAGCGTCTCTTGTCGTATCTCCAGATGATTCTCCCTGTAAGACACACACAGAATTCAGTCAGAAGATCCTTGACAATCCTGCCAACAACAGGGATAATTTACCTCAGGCTCCAGAACCAACACTGAGCAGCACAAAAACAGAACAAGAGTCAAGCATAAGGACGAGAGACAACAAGGCCAGGAAGAAGCTGGGAAATCTTACCTGGAGGCGGACCGGCGCCGTATTGCTTAGGGTGTCCTTTCGAGAAGTCCATGTCGAGGTTCTGGGGCGGTTGTGGGGGTGGTTGTGAGGGCGGAGGCGCCTGATCAGGCTCGGTATCTGTGAATATTTAGAGAAATATGTTGTATTGCAATTCCATGCGCTATCATGAAAAGGACTCACCGTATGAAGAGAAAGCCTCGAAAGTGGGCGGTGGAGCGGGAACGGGAAGCTGCCGGAGGGCTTCTGGTGCTGATGGCGGCGTCATTGGGGAGTCCTCGGGCTCCTCCTCGCCCTCAGTCAGCGGATCGCCATTCTCATCGCACTCCTCAACGACTAGCGATGGGAAGTTGCCGTGCTTCCCATCCAATTCGCCCTCCCACCACCCATCGTCCACCCCATGGGCGCTCTTCGTGGTGATCTTGATGATCTGTCCCTCCTCGAAGGTCAGCTCATCCTCCGCCGTGGCATCGTAGTCGTACAGGGCGATGCAGTACATGATTCCGGGCGTGGGTTTGGGCTTCACGGGCGCCGAGATCACAGACACTTGGTCGGGTGACTGTGCCGAGTCCTGGTACGCGTCCGGTTCCTCATTGTCCACCGTGTAGTCCACTGAGGAGAAGGAGATCTGCGTGGCCAGTGCCTGTTGCTGACTGGAGTCACTCAACTCGTCGCGCTCCACATCCAGATAATTGTGCGGCACGTATCCTTCCTCGCCACGATAGTTCCTCGCCCGCAGCCACCCGTCGCCGTCGCCCTCGCCAATCACCTCCAGCTGCTCGTTCTCCACGATGGTCAGCTCGTCTGGATTCTGAGCTGTGTACGAGTAGAGAGCGGTGCACTTGAACACAGGACCCGTTTGGGCTGGGACTGCACTGCCCGCTCCCTCGGCGCCCCAATCCACCTGAGTGGGATCATCCCAGCCCGCGGTCAGCTGCTCAATCTTCTGGCGCTCCTGCTCCAGCATTGCGTCCACATCGGCGTGATCAGGCACGGATTCTGCCTGCGAGAGCTCCTCTTCCTGATCCACGGCCGTCACCACTGCCTGAGATGTCGATGGCTGGGAAATCTTCGGCTGCTGCTGTTGCTGCACTTCCTCGCCGTCAGAATCGTAGAAGCTGTCCGAACTGGGCTGCTCTCCCTGTCCCGAGGCGTCTGTGCGCATCGAGAGTTCACTGTTGGAGCGATGAATCTCCTGAATGCCCAGCGTCTCTGCCTCCTGCATCCACTCATCCACATTCACGCCACCCTGTCGCAGACTCTCGATGCACGCCTCGGCTTTGGCCTTCTCAGTTTCAGCCTTGCGCACGCACTCCCGGAAGTCCTCCATTTTCGTCTCCAGATCCACTCCGTGGGGATCTTGCGGATCTACTCGCTGGCCCGCATCCCTGAGCGCCTGGCAGATGGCCAGCTTCTTCACATACTCCTTGATATTGGTGTTCTCTCGCACAATTCTGCTGGCCATGATCTTCGCCTCGCGGCTCAGATTCGCCGCCGCCGATTCGTGTTCCGCCGTGATCTTGGTGATGGGATCATTCTCGCAATTCTCAAATTCATACTGAATGTGCTGCTTGAGCACGGGATAGAACAGGTAGCAGCACTGCAGATTGTACTCCCTGGTGAGCTGCTGCGCCTGGTCGCGGATCTTCCCGAAGCTGTGCTGCGTGGCTGAGCACGTGAGCAACTCCGTGCGTCCCATGAGCATCAGGTAGTCGGCTATCCTCTCGTACACGTAGTTCTCCATTGTGGTCATCGTGGTCTGCAGATCCACGGTGAAGTAGCGATTCTGGTGTGCATTGGCCGACGCCAGACTCAGCAGATAGTCATTCCTCGCCCCAGATGATCTCTCCTCCAGCTGCTCCTTGCGCGACGTCACTCTGGCGCTGTTCTTCTGCAGCGACGTGATGGATTGGAAGAAGGAGCCCTTCTTCTTCTTCAGCTTCTCCTCAATATCGCGCGCCTTGTCCCTCACATCATGAGCACTGTGCTCCTCATCGAAGTACTGCTTCTTCGTCGTGTCCACGCGCATCACGGTGTTCTGCACCTCCTTCTGGATATTGGCCAGCTGATTCACGCATTTTTTGCTGATGGCCAGCTTGTAGTCGCGCAGCATTTTCGCCTCATCCGCGATCTGCTGCTGAAACACCTCAATGGCCGCCAATCGCGCTCTGGCCAGCTTCTCATTCTCCTCCAGCACCGTTCGCCACACGCTCCACATATTCCTGCAAAAGATAGAGCAAAAAGAGGCAAGCGAATCACTTCAGCAGCCCAAAATATTCCACGTGCAGTTGAAGTGATTATTTCCCGTGATAGCGTCGGACTCTTATCAGTGACAAAATTTGTTGGCCACTGTGGAACAACGCACTCAAACCACACTCAATATATTTTCAACAAGTCAGCGCTTTTTTTTTATTGACGAGGGCTTTCGAATAAAATCCCCATTCAATCCAGAGCTGAATGCAATACAGCGCGCGGGCTTAAGAAAGGAGTTTAGGATGAATTGAAATCGATTCAGTCAAGGCGACATCACTCTCTAGCTAATGAAGTACATCACAAGAGTCTTATGAAATTGAGTGACCTCAAAAGATGATATGAAATGAGGGCGCAATGATTGTGTAGTTAATTTATCTAAGAATACAGTTTACTTAAGGTAGGCCTAAGTCTTCACATCAAGGGGGAGAGAATATGTCTTAAACCTGTACACTACTTTCAAACACTAATTCTTTTACTTCCACATTGATTCCCAAATTATAATTAATCTCTAAAGTTTCCATTCGATATTTCTGTAAGAATGAACTAAAAAACGCTTTTTTAAACATCTTTTTCGACCATAACCTCAAAATATAACTAAGATATCTTCAAAAACTCCGTTCTAAAGCATTTTACTTTTGACAATGACCTCAAAATTTCTGATTCACAGTCAAAATTGTCCAAAAAATTTTTCTAAATAAACATTTTTCAAGTCCCAATGACTATTTTTGAGGTTATGTTCGAGTTCAATGCAATTTTCAGTGTTTCTTGGCATCAAAGATTAAAAAAAGCAATTTTTATTGCTTTTAAATATTTAATTCTGCCAATTAATAATGATATTTCCGAGTTTAGAATGCGAATTATTCACTAAATCTGTCCGTGATTCATTGTTGCATAACCTCGAAAAAGATTTTTATAATTGATTGTGCGTAAAAATTGAAGGAAATCCAAAGAATTGGCATAATTTGTCAAAGTAATATTGTGAGTTTTTGAACACTCTAACTTTTTAAGTACTTCTGCTGAGCTGTACACCACTTCAGACTGTATTATCTCCCCCTTGTTTCAAGTCACTGTCATTTTTTGCATGATCAGGAAAAATGCAAAATACTTTGAGGAGTTTGGAGAAAAAGTGATACTTTTTGCTACATATTTAGAAGCAATTATTTCCAAGAATCCCTCGACTGAAGGATTTTGAATAAATCATTTATCTATTTTAGTTACAATCTCTATTCGTTATGAATAAGTAAATAATTCCCAAAGTTCCCAGAATAGAGTGACACGTGGAATAATTGCCCTTGTTTGGGTAAGAAATTGATGGAAAATACTTCTAAAATAGCTCTGCACGAAGTTCAGTACACCAGCGCTTTGGAATGCACCTGCCTTGCACTTCCTCTCGCAACTTTGGACGGTCGAACTCACCATTTCTCCTCCGTTCCCTCCATCTTAATGTCCGGGATGTTGGGCATCTTCTTGTTGAGATACGCCGATGAGATCTTGAGCAGCGCCTCGCTGTAGGACTTCTCGATGGCCGAGCGCTTGATGGTGAAGAGGCGAATGTCCTCCAGCAAATCGCACTCATGCTGGTTCTTGAGATGCAGCTTCGCCACTTGCTCGGCATGCAGGTTCTTGAGGAACTTGGTGTAGTTGCCCTGCACAGAGAGAGAGAGTGAGAATCAATTAGTGAAATTGCCCGAGAGACACAATGAATAATGCAAAGAAAGTATCCTTCGGAAGGTCTTTTTCTTGTGTTTGCGCCTTTACGCCGTGAAATTCGATTGTGCATGGAATAATACATGGGAGAGAGAGGCTTAAATATAGCCCATGGAGAAAATCAATATTTGATTTTGTCAGGGAGCTTTTCCGGGGCTCAAATGGAGTCACCTTTCTCGGCGGAGGCTGCATTTTGTCACCCCACACACCCAATTACAACACAGTCGCGCAAACGGAGAAAATGTCAATGGCGTGATTTTCCTCTCTTTCACTCGGCTTCAACTGTCCCGTGAACAAAAATTCAGGCCACACTGCGATTTCGCCTCCCCTGCTCTTTTTATTTTCTCTCCTCTTCACAGGCACACTTTTCCCGAGATCGTCCCAGCGAAACAAGAGTCCCTCGCACTAAACCATCCTCGGCGGTTGTGAGTGGATTTTGATTGCCCGAGCGATGCCACACATTTGGGGAGCGAGCATTTGCACTTCTTCTATGGGGAGGAAAAATGGCGAGTTGGCCGCCTCCACACTTTCACCGCTGCTGAGGAATTTTCTCCTTCGCACGCACCAGTCTCAGGATTGTGCCTCCCCTCGCGCGATCGATCAGCGCACACGAGGTCCCCCACATCGCCACGGCTCCTGCGCGGCCGCCCCGCTGGCCGCCGGCCGCCACGCGAGCGCCGCATGCGCTCCACGGCGTCTCTCGCCAGCCAGTGGCCCGCGCGATGGCCCATTAGCTGCGGAGACGGGGGCGCTGGCCAGGAGCGTCCCGTTACGTAAGGCGCGCCAGACACACTCACCGAGATGCCATAGGGCGTCGGGGGCTTCTTCCTGTGGCGCCTCCTCAGGCGCGACAGGCTGGACCTCCGCCGAAGGCCACTCTTGCTGCCACCAGCCGCGTCAGGCATCCTTCGCTGTGCCCGCGATGTGCTGAGAAACTCCGTGCACCGTCCACCGAGGCACTGACTGAAATGATAAGAAAACGCGCGCACAGACTCACTGTTATCGCTTATCACACTCCCCCACCCGCCGAACCACTCCCTCTTTATTGCAAAAAACACCTTCAAATGTCTCTCACCATATCTTATCTCCGCATTGATTCGACGCCTTCAAGGTTCACGGGGCCAGACGCGATTCCCACGGGACTCACACGGACTCCTCTTCGTCTCTCTGGCCAGCGTGGCAGTCCTGGGCGAACTAAGAGGGTGTCTGATAACATAATTATGAATTGTTGGCAGTTTCTGCTTATTGCCACAGGCACACATAAATATTCAAATCAGGCCCTTTTTGGCGTCCTCGGCACGAGCATGAGAGGAATTGAGTGAACGTGGCGAGAAAAGAACTCCCCTTTAAGATTTAATGGCATTTTCATTGGCAGCCCTTTTCGCAGCTTTAATCGGATAAAACACATTTCATCACGATATACACTGGCGAACGAAAGCGTCGAATTCGTGCCCAAATCCAGGAGTGAAATCTAGTAGGAAGTTTCATGAAACTAGTGAGAAATTTAATGCTCTGTCGCATGCAACTCATTTGAGTTTTATGCAGGAAAATTACACTATTAAACCCACTAAAAGGGAGCTCAACACGTTGCTTAGTTCACCAAGAGGAGCTGGAACTGTGGAAAACTCGATTTGAGGCAAAATCCAGCTCGTCCCCGTGAGCTAAACAACATTTAGAGACATAAGTTTTTGGGAGTCGGACAAAATTACATTGTTCTAAGAAAAGTACCAAAGTTTTAGGAGATATAAAATAGGGACTTTGAACTGCCATAATTTCGTTTTTTTATTTCTAGTAAAGGGCTCCGAGACACGTCTTTTGGCGAAGAGATGATCAAAATCGGTCAATAAACAGCGGAGATATAGATCAGTAAAGGAGTGAACTTTGAACCTTCATATCTCCGCTCCAGTAATTTCAATCTTCATAATTAACGATTCGTTGGAGAGCTCTTGACCTCAGCTACAACATACTGAAAATTAAAGAAAATACATCGTCTCGTCTTCGAATAAAACCATTTTAAAGTTTAGAAAATCGTTTTTGCGACTTTAGCGCCTCTAGTGGTACTTCTATCAAATAATGATGTTTGAGTGGAAGATTGCATTTTAAGAGACCTTTCCAATCAACTTAAAATTATTCCAATCGGTTAATTATAAGCGGAGTTATAGCGATTTAAATTTCCAAATTTTGCTCCTTAATATCTAGAATCTAGAAGGACTTAAGTTCTTCAGTGGCGTTTCCTTGGAAGGGACTAATGCATGGCATAGAGACTGAGGAAATGAGGAAAGTGTATTTTAGGGTTAATCTCTCTTTAATATGCATTCTTGCCTACTTTTTAAGGCGATTTTGGGGAAGTAATTACGGATGTTAAGGATCAAAGGAGTCAAGATGAGAGCGTATTTTGATGCAATTTCTGTGGTTTGACGCAATCTAGCTGTGCAAAAATCGTCTTTCTGTGCAACTCGTGTTTCAGAACATTGATTTTCCGTCAGAAACTGAAGCGCAATTTCACTAAATCCTGAGTCGTTTCCTCAATTTTCGTCAGTCATTCGTTCCTCACTGTATTCATGGCAGTTCAAGAGAGCTTTTCTTGCCACATCGAAGCGACTTCGGGCGGGGAAATTGTAGAGCCTCTTGAAGTGTGTCAAGAGTATTGAACCAAAGTAGCTGGAAGAGCAACTCAAGGAAGGAAAAAAGCCACACATTTTTATGATATTTTACATTTTTAATTATTTTTATACTTTATAATACAATTCCATCATCGTTTTTTTTTCTTTCACAATATTTCACATATTTACAACATACACTTAATAACTCATCTGTTCATTATTCAATAATTATTCTCTCCTGCCTTCACTAATTCATTAATGTAATCCTTTATCAATGTACTTTGAATCATTTCTCATTTTAATATTAAATATACAATAATTAAAATTGTAAATGTAAGTTTTTTCTTCACCATCTACGCATCTCATTCTTGTAAATAGTTTAATTATTTATATATAATATGTATAAGTAAATTTCTAATATGTAAATAGAATTAATTTAAAAAGGTTGTTTTTCTCCTCTCTTTTCTCTCTGTCATCATTCAACTCATCTTTCTCACCATTTCACGTTTAAATAATCAAAAAAGTTTTACCTTTTCTTTACGTTATTATTAATATACTTTTTTTTCTTAGAAGTTTCATTTACTTTTTATTCTGTTTTCTTTCATTCAATTTTCTTTTTTAATAATATTGTGTGTTTGATGTTTCTTTTGATAACCCAAGTTTTTCTCTCACTTTCTTGTCCTACTTTTTTTTATATACTTTTTTCTTCTTCAAAAAATTAAAAATAATATTTACATTTTATGCCTATTTTCTTCTTCACCTTCTTCTTCTACTTCTCCTCCTTAAACCCACTTTTTTGTACAGCAAGAGTATTTGTTCGCCACATTTCTTCTTCGCCATTCTTCAACTCTTTCGCGCTATGTTTTCTTCCTCACGTTTTCTTCTTCTTCTTCTCCACGAAGGCGGGATGATTAGGGAAGAGATTTCCTCAATGTTTTCTCCTCTTTTTTTTTAATAGCATTTTCACTTACTTGTTAGATTATCGCTTGTTTTTCTTGTATTACTACTGTATTTTTCTTTATGTTTTCATGTGTTTTTTTTTCTTCAAAAAGAACTCTTTTCTTACTAACTTTCTTTCTTTCTTTCTCTTCTAGACTGGAGATAAAATGTTTCGATTGATAGGAAAAAAAGGATCCAATAATTATCATCCCAAGTGTGGCTTTTTCACTGGGGCGCTTTTCTGCTTGTTTGCTTTCTCTCCCTCTCTTCGTCACATCTTTCGCGTTCACATTCAACAAAACACAATGATAATCAACTGTCTACGATAAAAATTGATAAACATATTAACGATTGCTCTCTCTTTCATGAATATTGATTCTACGTATTTTTTCCTCTGTTCTTCACTTTTAGTCACTGTTTTTTTTTGCTACTCCCCTTTTTTTGGGGAGTAATTCTTTTTATAGTCACTGTTTCTTTTTCATTTTCTTATAAAAAAAAACTCTCTCTCTCTCTGATGCTGAAGAAAAGAAGTTATTAGTTTCTTTTTCATACTTTTGCCAGGAAAAATAGACGGTGTAAATGGAAAAAAAGAAGACAACAGCAAAATTTAGCACAATTTCAGAGTTTTCACTGTCCTTAAATGTTAAGTCGTCCATCGACTAATTCCATGTTTTTTTCTTTTCTTTTCTTGGTAAATTCAATTAATCTATTAATCTGGTGTAAAATGGATTTTTCTCTTTTGCTACCTTGTAATTTCTCTCATCATTTATCAACTTCTCAGGATTACTAGTTTTATCATTTTTCTCTCATTTTCTTCTTCTTTATATATATATATATATTATTAAATATTGCAAAAGTGGTTGATTATATAAAAAAGACTCCTTTACAAGTTTACTGACTTTCTCAATTACATTCTAATTAATTGACCTTTAATATCGGTTTTTAAAGTTTTCCCTCTTCTTCTCTTTCTCTCACTCTTCACTTATGTTGAATAGAAAAAAAAGAAGGAAATTCTTCGACAATATGAAGTACTTTTCAAACCTTCTCTTATTACAAAGTTTTTACTGCAAAAAATTGAAGTTCATTGATTAACCACACGCTTAACCATCCCTTTTACACTCCTTTTTCTTCATCCTTTTCTCCCCACAAATGGACGACGATGAACTGCTTTTACACAATGACTAAAATGTGAATGAATAATTTGTTTTTCTCTTTCTCTCTTTTTCCTTTCTTACATGTTAATATTTTTGTTTTTTTTTTAAGAAGAATTCATACTTTTGGAAATATTCTTGTTGCTTCTTTATCTACGCCTTGACTTTTTTTTGTACATATTTTGTCGTTTTAACAAAGTTTAGTTTGACTAAAAAGAGCATTATTCTATGTTTAAACTTTTTTCAAGGTTTTTTTTTGACATTTTTTCCTTTCTTTTTTTTTATAAATATTACACAATTTTCACCTAATTACTTCTCTAGATTAGAACATGGTTTTTTCTTTCTCTCCTCACTCATCGTCACTAAATCCCTGTTGGCTTTCTGTCTCCCTTTTCTTGTGGAATTTCCGCCGACGCGTGATTACAAGAATGTTTAGCAACTGTCTACATATTTTCCCTCCTCAATATGTACAAAAAGTTCTATGTTGATTTTCTGAATTATGTTTTGTTGTGTTTTCTTTCCTTTTTCTTTCTTTCTTTCTTTTGTTGTTGTCGTAGAGAAAAGCGCACAGTTGAAGAATCTTCTCCTGTTTTGCAACAATAATAAATTAATGAAAAAAAATAAACAATGTTATAAATATTAATCAAAAAAATAATAATAATAATTCAATTTCTTTCCACCGCATTTTTTTTTCTTTGTCACAGTTCCTTTTTGCCGAAAAAAAATATTAATTGCATTTTTTTACCATGGGCAAAAAAAGTAGTTTCTTAAATTATGTTATAAGAAAGAAAATAGTCAACAGTCATGATTGAAAGTTTTCCACTAAGAAAGGTAAAAATAAACTTCATACAGGAGAATTCCTTCATATTCGCTCTCATTCAATGATGAAAACTATCTATTAAACTGTACTACGAGTGTTTTTCTTTCCTTTTCTTCTTCACTTCTCTGTCGCTTTTCTCAAAAAATTTCCCATTATAAATATTAATCTCTATAGAGCACTATTTGGATACAATAGCAATACAATTTCTTATTTCATCCAATGTATTCAATATATAGATTATATTGTTTTACACTTTTCTGATTCACTTTCTACTAACTTCATCTACTCTTTCCCTCTTTCTCTCATTTGTCATCTTCCCTTTTTGAATTTTCTCACCGAAAAAACGGTTTTTCTTCACAATGAAACTATGTGTGTTAAAATAAAGTTGTGTGTGTTAATGTCAGTTGAAGGCTCCTTGAATGAGATATAAAAGAAACTTATAAAGAGACTCGCAGAGAAGCGAGAAATAAAACATCGCACATTTCTTCTTTTGTCCCTAACAAAACACTAAGAGTCGCCTTCAACGGTGCCGAAGCTATCATCTAACTTCGCAGTCTTTGTTGAGAGGAAGCGGAGGGCAGCCTTTGCTGGCTGATGAGTCTGTCTTTGTCTTCTCGTCCACCTTTGTCGCCTCCTTCTTCCCATCAGCGCCAGCATTGGCGCTCGCGGAGAAATTCCCACCGGCCGCCTTGGCATTCTCAGCCGCTGAAGCCTTTCCGTCGGACATCTTCGAAGCTGCAAAAGAGACACAAAATCACGTCATTCAATGCAAGATTCTCATGATTTCTCACCCCAAAACAACTCACCATCGAGATTCAGTTCAGCTTCCTTCGTCTTCTTCCCTTTGGCATCTGTGCAGTTGACTTGAGGCGCATCGCCAGGCTTCTCACCGCCGCCGCCCTTCTCAGTCTTCTTCGCCTCCTCCGACATCACGTACGACTTGCCCTGATTCCCACGGGAAATCTTCAGCCTGATCGGCGAAATGATCTTCTCAGCGCCATTCGCCGAAGTGCGTTTCTTCCCTTTCTCACCCAGCGGCTCATCGAGCGCCAGCGGATCCACGGCATTTGGATCATATTCGTACGGATCTTGTGGTATCTGAGGCTCCCCCATTGGCGGCACTCCGCCCTCCTCACTCTTCCTCTTCCCCAGGCGGATGATCAACTTTGGCGCTGCATCACTGTTGCCATTGTTGATGATCTCAAACTTGTGCTTCTTGTCCTTCTTCTTCTTTCGCTTCTCCTCCTTCGACGGTTTCTGCTTCTTCGGCTTTGTCACCTTCTCCTTCTCCTCAAAGTCCGCCATCACCAGCTTCCGGAAGTTCATGCAGTCCCTCTTGATGTCCTCCACACTCGGCACTGCCATATTCTGACTCAAGCGCTTCTTCGGCGGCCTTCCACTCAGTCTCTTATCCACCGACGGACTCACATCAATCACCCCTTGGCCAATCTTAATCTTCAGCTTCGGCGTGGACAGAGCAGAATCCGTCAAGGTGAGATCCTTCCCACTGGCATTGCTATTTCCTCGCATTCGCCGCTTGGACAGCACACCATCCACACTCACGTCGAATTGCATCCTTCCCATGTCATCGTCATTCATCTCATAGCTGGATATGTCAAGCTGTCGCAATTCCCTAGACATTCCGCCCACTTTCTTCCTCTTCTTGGGATCCAGTGTCGCATAGTCCTTGTAGTCTTCCTTCGTGGGAATTGAACTCATCGAATCCACAGCCTTTGGGATGCCAACACTCCTGTTCATCTGCGTATTGTGACTCATCGCCGTGGGCTCCGGCAGACCGACATGAGCATCCACTGTGTTCATGTCCTGACTGCAGTACTGCCTCAGCAGCTCCTTCTTCCTCATCCGATGGAAGTTCGAACTGCCCGGCGTGGCCATTGGACCCAGCGTACAGTTTGTTGAGGTGGTGGGGAAGGTGGCATCGATGCCAGGACCCGAAAGACCCGGCACAGGATGTCGCACAGCCGTCGTTTGGGTGTTGTAGTTGTCCGGATGCGCCAATGGACCCTTGATCTTCAACTTCAGCTGATTCCGCGAATCTGACAACGACACTTTGGGCTTTGATGCATCCAATTCGGACATGAAATCATCTGACGCCTGAACTGGTTGACTCTCCGACGATGCCTTCACAACAGGACTCTTAGGCTTTGTACTGCTCGCCTTCAGCGCCGACTGAAGCTCCTTCTCCATCTCCTCATCAATGTCCGCCAGCGTCTGATCAGCTGTGCCACTGGCAAATGCTCTCAACAGATGATTATTGTACGCATCCGACGAGGCATCGAATCCCGTGCTGTACGTCCGCATATCCACCGGCCCAGGCAACACAGGCTGCACCATATCTCTCAGGGATGTCGTTGGCGTGACCTGAGACACCGTTGCGTCCGTCCTGATGGGACTCGGTGGCCTGAGATTGCGTATGTCAGCCGTGGTGAATGGTGGCGGTGGTGGAATTGGTCTTGATTGTTTGGAATGTGCATTTGGACTGGCAAATTTAGGCGATGTTGCCTCTCTGGCACTCCTGAATGGCTCCACTCGGCAATCAATGGATCTCCTCCTGTCCCTCATCGCCTTGAGATTCTCCACACTCTCACCAGCAATCTCATCATCGAAATCATACACAGTGCCCGCCAATTTGCTGTGATTCGTCCCGCCCGTCATGAAATCAAACTCCGGCACACCCAGCGGCGGAAAGTGATGCATTGTCGTCTTGCCACCGCGTCCACGGCCTCTGCCACGACCGCGGCCAGGAGTTGCGGCGCCCCTCACCTTCCGCGCCTTGGCCGGATCAGCCTTCACAACCTTATTCGCCACAACAGCGGGCAACTGTCGATTGATATCAATTGGCTGCTGTCTTGGACTCTTGGCCGGTGATTTGGCGGGTGATTTTGCTTGTCTCGCCGACTGTCTGCTCGGTTTCGACGGAGATTTCATCACATCCTCCTCCGGTGGTTTCTCCGGCAAGCTCTCACGCCTCTCCGGTTGAGGCTGTGGCACTGCATTTGTCGTGGGGAATCTCTGCTGCTGCTGTTGCTGTTGTTGTGTTGTTTGAGGTGATGTTATAGAGATCGGAGCTGGTGTCGGAGACACCATGGCCGCTGTCAGGGCCATATTCTGCGATGAGGACGTAAACGCCGCCCCACACGGATTGGAGGGATACGAAGGAATGGTGTTGTTCACCGAGAGCATATCATCAGGCTTCTGCAGTGGTCCCACGCCACACAGCGACGTCGGTGGCTGTGTATTTGGCGCCGTGGTGAAGGATTGCCCGAAGGCAGGCGGAAACATAGCCGCTCCTGGTGATGGGAAAGGCAGGTGAACATTGTGAACATTCGGTCCAGATGGTGGAATCAGTGTCACTGGACCCGTGAAGCCACCCGTGGCCTCAGCATAGTTGAACGGCGGCATCAAGCTGTCCAGCGTCGTGGCATTCGGTGGGAATGGTTGCATTCCCGGATGCTGCATGTTCATGAAGGGCGGCATGTCGGACAGGAGATTCCTGTGATGCACACCCAGCTGATTCTCCATCGGCTGCGGTGTCACTCGCTGCTGTGGCGGCATTTGATTCTTCACATCGTGACTCTCCGATGCACTACTGGCCGGCGATGAGGACACAGATCTCCTGTTGGGAATCATGTCGCTCTCCACCCAATTTGACGGATGCACAGAGTATGGCGATGAGTTGTCATCATACTCCATGGGCTTTTGATGTGGCGTGAGTGATTTCACCGGCGCCTGCTGATGACCACCCACATCCGACGTGATCACCGACTGTTGCTGATGAAGTTGCTGCTGCGCGGCAATACACTGATTCGTCTGATACTCCATTCGCTCCTGGAATTGCTTCAGGAAATCAGCATTATTTCCCGCCGCAGCCACCAAACTCTGCGACACAATCTCCTCCATCGTGGCCTGTGCCAGATTCTGTGACATCACTTTGGGATCGAACATCATTTGACTGAGATGAGCGACAGAAGCCGGTGTCAATTCCGACGGCGGAATCCAACGATCATCCACTGACATCGGCGCTGAATGATCAAGTCCACTGCCTTCAGACACTTTGGGCATCTGCGAGGACTCTCCACCCGACGCCACCATGTCGAACTTACTGTGCGGGAAGTTACTGACATCCGTGGACAGTTTCTCCGTCGCCTCCGGAGACAATCGCTTGTTGGCCGCATCGAGAGAGATGTCATTCACCTGCAAGACACGAGAATATGATTCAAATTCATCAAGCTAAAAAGCCTCCTTCGCCATCTACTCACCTTATTCTCCACCACTTCCGGAGACTCTCGTGACTGTGGCACCTTCTGCTCCTGATTACCCGTCTCGGACGGCGCTGAGGATGCCGTGGAGTGACTCCGCTTGAACTTTTGCCGCAGTTTCTCCACCAGATTCATCGTCTCCTTCTCGCTGTCCTCCTTGTAGTCCTCCTTGAACAGGATGTCAGTGTTGTGCGAGAAAGGCACTCCCAATCCCACCGTTCTCAGACTCTCCGCCCCATCCGGCGGCACACTGAACGCATCGTCATTCATCGTCTCCGTGACGCCGGGCAGGAGGTCATCGGAGAAGTCAAAGAATGCACACGGATCCTTGTTTTTGGCACTCGTGAGGGCGGGCGGAGCTGGTGTCTGTGGCAGTGGCGAGAAGATGCTCTTCTGCACTGTCTTCTCCATTGCACTGGCTGGTCGATTCTCACCCTCTCGCGCACTGTCACTCGGCACTTCGCTCTTTGTCTCCACAGGAGTCAATTGTTGCTTGTTGTACGGCGACAGCACCACGGGCATCTCCTCAGCTGCAGCACTTCCGCTCCTCTTCAGCGGCGACGGAGTGTCCCTCTTCGTGGGCGTGACACTCCTGCTCTTGGCATTCACGGTCTCCTCGCGCTGCGGCGATGGCTTTGGCGGTTCGCGAGCCTTTCGCTCGGGACTCTTGAACTGTGGCTCCTTGTTCTCCTCACTGGGCGTCCTCGACTTTCTCCTCTCCACCGACGGCGCCTTCTTCGTCGCCGACGGAGACTCTTTGGCCGTTGCATTCAATTTCTCGTGCACTTTCCGCTTCTCAGGTGAAAGTTCATCGGGCTTGACGCCCTTGGGCGAGATCGTGGCACCTTCGGTCGTTCGACAAGGTTGTTGTTGTTGTTGCTGCTTCTGAGGCAATTTTCCAGTCTCACCAGCGGCACGCGGAGAAGTGGCTGAGGACTTCCGTCGGCGCCCTGTTGTGACTTCTCCTGACAACTCCGGAAGCTTATCAGCAACTCCCTGTTTGTCGGCGTCAGCACTTCGTCGCCGATCACCTGACACACTCGCCCTCTTACCGCCACGTGCAGCAGCTTTGGCCTGTCCACCACCTCTCGCCTGAGCACCATCATCCTTGGCCGCGGCGCCGCCGCTCGCGCCCGGCCGTCCCAGTCCGGAAGTTTTAAGCTTCCCTTCTGCGACCACCCGGCGCGCCGGCGCCTTCTTGGCGCTGTTGCGATTGTTGTTGATGCTGGTGGACTCGCTGCTCTCGTCGCTGCTCTCCGACTCAGAATCGCTGGACTCACTCGAACTAACGGAACGCAGAGACTTGGTATCCTTGTCAAGAAAGGGCAAGTCCTTGGCTCTGTTGTTCGCCGGAGTCACTCGAGCGTCCTTCGTCGCCGCCTGAACAGACGCCACCTTCGCCTTGGCCTTCGGCGTCTCCTCTTCGCTCTCCGACGACGACGAAGAGCTGGACGAGGAGGATGAACTGCTGCCCGTGTAGGAGCTTGAGCTGCTTGAGATCACAACGGGTGTGGCATTCTTCTTGCCCTCGTCCTTCTTCACCACCGGCGCCGCGGGCGTCTTGGTCTTGCTCTCCTCCGCGACAACCGCCGCCGCCGCCGCTGCTGCCGCCGGTGTGGCGTCCGTGGGCTTCCCCAGGCCACTCTTGATGTGCTCAGCCGCCTTCTTCGCCGCCTGACGCTGTGGCACGTACGCCAGCTTCTCCAGCAGCTCCCGATTCTCCGCCTCGGCGCTCTTCTCCTTGCCAGCGACAGCCTTTGGCGTGGATGCTTGAGATTTGGGTGTCTTATTACTCTTGCTGGACTTCACACTGCGCGCCACCTGTTCGTCCTTCGATGGACTGAGAATTGAGTCTCGGCGCTCTCTCACCGTCGTCACAGCAGTTTCAGGCTCCTTCGCATCCTTCTTCACCTTGTCCACCGTCACCGCCTGACCCGTGGCATACATGCCAGTGGACTTGAGGTTCTCCGACGCCTTCTTGGCCGCCTGTCGCTGCGGCACGACCAGCAGATCTGTGTGGAACTCCTTCTTGCTGCTCGCAAATGACTTGGTATTGAGCTTATTGCTGTTGTCCTGCTTTGCAGTCTTCGCCTTACTCTTAACTTTATTTACAGGTGTGCTGCCATCCTCAGTGTGACTCTTCGAGTCACCCTTTGAGCCCTTCTGTGGCACAAACTCCTTCATCGCGGCCTTCGTTCTCACCACGTGCTGCTGAGAATCACTCGCCGCATTGTCCGTCTTGTCCTTATCCGTGCTGTCGCTATCCGAATAGATAGCCGACATCTTCCCGCGCTGCTCCTTTGTGCCCACATGCTGACCACTGCTGTTCCGGATGGGTAGCAGCTCATCACTCTCATCACTGGCCGACGACAGGCGACTCTTGTCATTGGACATCTCACGCGCCATCTGACGCAGTGTGCGATTGCGTGGCGATCGCTGCTTGTCCACCTTGCCCGCCTCCTCGTCATCCTCACTACTCGTGTCCACCAGGGATTTGCTCTTGACCACCGCTGTGCTGTTGACACGCCTTTTCCGCCGATCGATCTTCGTGCCCTCAGCATTCTTTGGCGTCCGTCCACCCTTCTTCGTCGTCATCTCCCTGATCATTCTCCCCGTGGACGATTCACTGTCACTGGACAGGCTGCTGACATAGGTGGAGGCCCTCCTGGCCGCCGCCCCATTGAACACCGTCTTCTTCGCAGATTGCTTCCCATGGCGCGCCTTGCTGTCGCGATTCACACCATTCAGATCCGCCGTGGACGTCTTGGCCTTCGCCTCGTCCACCATGAGACTCGTGCTCTCCGCCAGACGACTGACTAGCTGGTCCCACTTCTCCTGACTCGGCACAGCCACCTGGCGTGCCGAATACAGGCGATCGTAGATGGATGGCCCGTGATTGGCCTGCAGCACTGCCTGCACCAGCGACTCGTCCACCTTCTTCGACTTCATGTCCAGCAGCAATGCCATTTGCTTGTGGAATGTCTGCTCGCGCATCTTGAAGAACGACCTGGACAACTTCTCGCGCCTGCTCACCATATAGCAGAGATTCCTCACGCGCTCCAAGTCCTGCCGCAGGTGCACAAACATCTTCATCTTCTCCACATCCGCCTGACCCTGCTTGTGCGACGCCATATCCACATCCTCAGACTTTGGCGGCAACAGCGGTCGATTGCTCATGGACTTCCTCTTGAGTATCCAGTAATTGTATATGGTGTGAATGCCCTCCTGATCCACCTCAAGCACATGACAACTGATGTCCTTCACATTCACATGCTTATCAAAGTCCGCCTCAACTTCCTGCAGTCGCTGTATTCGCGCCTGATTTCTCTCCTCCGTCGTCATATCCTTCCTTTGCTTCTTCCTCTTCACATCATCATCCTCACTACCCGACGCCGCCGCACACGAGTTACCACTCTTGTCCCTTTTGCTCTTGTTCATACTGTGCTTGAGACAGTACGATCGCAACTTCACCCCATCCTCCGCGTGCTCATCCTCAATGATGGCACGCATCTCAAGTCCATGTTGAAATGCACACGTCACATGATACGCCGTCTTGCACGTCTTCACCGAGCACTGTATGCACGCACCCACGCGCTCACGGCACAGGACACACAGCAGCGCCCATCGACTCTGCGGAATGCTCGAGATCTTCGTGATGGGCTCCATGCGATCCACCGAGCCTATGCTCACCTCCGGTATCCACAGAGCACACGACACATGAGCCCACTTCTGCCCCGATCTCGTCGACTTCATCGCGCCCCCCTTGTTGGGACACAGAACACAATCAGGCCGCTGACCAACGTTGCATGTGCGACACATCCACTGTCCAGGCGGTATCACCGTGATCCCATAGCAGGCCTGATGCACGCAAATGTTGCAGTTATCACAAAACACCATTTCGTTCGCCTCCTCCGAATCCGGTGAGCGGCACACATCACAAATTACATTCTCATCGTATTCGATGCCCAGGCCTTCCTCACTCTTCATGATTGCTTGTATTTTGTCCCAGCAGCGAGTCTAAACAGAGGGAAAGATTGGGAAGAGTCAATATCAAGTGCCTTCATCACTGTTGGTAAACTCTGACTCACCTCCAATTCCTCAACCACGCGCTCAAACTGCTCCTCAGTCACCGGAGACAAGCCACACTGGACCCTCTCGCCATTCATCAGCTTGAGCCACGCCTCATCGCACTGATCCAAGTCATAAGAACACGCAGCATCAGCCATTGCTGGTGCATTTGATAAATAATGGAGATCAGACGAGAAGCTCTCATCCTTCGTTATCCGGATGTACTTGTTCTTCGGCCTGCAAATTGAAGATTCAACGTGTTGTAATTCATGAAACACTCAAAAGTGTACAAAAAATACTCACAACTTGAAGTCTGATCTCCCTTTGTAGATGCTGCAGCTCTGGATGAAGCGGACCGATGGCTCCGGGAGGGAGTCAGGATTGACAGGAACTTGAACACCACGCTCCCACTCCTGCTTCCATTGATCAGCAATCACCCAGTACTCATCGTGCGCCAATGGCTCAGAATCCGGCAATTTCATGGCACTGATAAGGTCCTTCCTGCAAAGTCAACAGTCAATTTTAGCCCAGAACTCGCGCCTTTCTCACCACAACAAGACACTCACCTAAAGAGTTCAGCTGGGGCTTCGGGTGCATTGCGATTGTAGATGCTCGAAATCTTCAGATCCGTCATCTGTCTGAGTTGCCAGTTCTTGGACGTCGATGTTCCAGCACCTGATCCAGAATTTTGTGTTGACTTTGACGTGGAATTGGCCTGGTTCGCATTGGCACTCTCGTCATCGTCATTCGTGGCGCCCCCGGACGTGGGGGGTCGCCCTTTGCGCCTCTTGATAGGGGGCGGACCGTCGTTTTCTGAACGACTCGGTCGTTTCCCTCGATGCGACATTGTAAACAACACACGGGTTACAAGGTAAAAGTAATTGAATTACTTTATCGTCTCATCATCAGAACCTGCAACGACAAGTGCACACACCACTGGTTATTGATCCTCCTCCGGAATCACAGCACAATCCGCACAGAATCATCCGCCACTGGGTTTTTGTTTATAGCAAGAGGGCGACCGCGATTAGTGTTGGATCTCAGTTGGCGGATGACAACAAAATACTCGGTGAAAAATAACATAAACAATGATTTGGGCGGCAGAAATCCACTCAGCGCGCCACTTTGGGCCTCAGCGACACCCATCGGCGCCCAGGAGGGCACTTCCTGGTCGCTGGGCGGCATTTTTTCGTCCTCCACAGCCAATTGCACGGAGTCCACCCAAAATATGCGCAGCGAGTTTCCCCCAAATCGCCTGCCTGCCCTCTTTGCGAAAATCCCATCTTTTCTTCTCGCGTCGCAGCATCTCTCCCGGCCCACCAGCCACCCTCTGTCTCACCCATCGCGCCCTCCTCCCGCTCCCGCCACACGGCACACCGCCCTCGAGGCGCCCCCGGGGGCGGCAGATGAGGAAAAAGTGGCCCGAGATGTGGGAAGAAGTAAACAATATCAGGGGCTGCCCGCCATTGTTTCTCGGGAAAAAATCACACTCGCCGCCACACTCCCGGCCAAATTGCCTGGCGCACACTTTCCCACACACCCACGGACGCACTTTTCACGTACCATTTCGTCCACTCTGATTGTCGCTTGGCGTGAAAATTGATAATATTTACACGGCGAGCGAGACACGACCACGACCGCCATCATTGAACTCCATTTTAATTAAATGACATTGGCGGCGCCACTGGCGCACCCGCTGGTGCTGCCACCGCGCAAATTCTAGCACTTCTCTCTGCAGAGATGAAAAATTTTCCATGCTTTTCCCAATTTTCCACACATCCACTGACACTTTCCCGCCATCCGTGTGGCCCCTGCACGCCCCGCACTGCCCATCGACACACTCAGGATCGACTTTCTCTCCGCCCACTCGCCGTATCGATCGGTGGGAAAATCAAAATATTTACATATATATAGGAAAACTACTAGAATGACTCAATTTTGCATTTTCACCCACAAAAATGCCACTGCAGGCGTGAAAAAGCACTCACACTCGCCACCAATGGGGTCCACAGGTCGCCAAAGATGAATCCCCAGGCGGAGGAGGCCGAAAATACGGCTAAATAGCTGATTGAGAAAATCTCCAGTGACGGACGTTGCAGTAGACGCAAAATTTTCACTCAGATTTTGCAATTTTCACTGCATTTTTCACCCTCACTCACTCCAGTCTCCGTGTCCTGAGCACTCAATGGCGCCCCAAAGCGCACCCAAACGCACTCCGAGGGCGACTCTCTGCCCGTGTCGGAGTTATGAGGAAAAATCACTTTTCACCTCCCCCGAGCAATTCCCCCTGCAACACACAGTTCCGGGCGGCTCACAAGGGCATTAACATTGATTTTGCGTTGAGACAGCGCATGGAAAAGCATTTATTTTGGCCTTTTGGGCGAAAAAAACACTCCGTGAAAATATCAAATGTCAAAACACCACCCTGTCAGTGTCAGGTGAGCAGTGTGAAGTTGGCGCGAAGGTGGTGTGAAAAATTTATGAAATTTTCGCAAAATAAACAAGGCAAAGCACCACCGCTCCTCAGCTTGCTGGAGAGCTGTGATTTCCTGGGATAAGACGGAATGTGGCAGAGAGAGAGAATGATTTTCGGCGACGATAATTCTCAATCACGAGAAATTCCGATGGGAAATTCAAAGAAGCAGAATTGTCGGAACTTCTTATTTGCTGCCAGAGGAATTTTGTCTATTATGGAGAAATGTTTTCTAGTTTGTATTCTCTTGGAATATTCCATAGAAAATCACGTGATAATTCAGTCACACTGGAATACAAGTTGAGAATTTTCCTATTCGATCCGATCGATCACATGATCTGTGAACTGCAATCTTCATTGCGCAATCTTTCATTGTGTTCCGCAAAAATACGTGAAACTTAAAACTTCACTTAGTTGTTTGTTGTTTTTCCACCGAGAAGAAAGAATTCCAATTAATGCGACTTTTTTCAAGCTCAACTTGTGAAAATAGGCAGAAAACAACCTTCTTAAACATTTTGTGTGTGAATCTGTGCAATTGTGAGTGCAGAAGAAGTTCCAGATCTGAAATTCCGGCAAATCAGGGGTAAATTAGACCAAGTAAGTAACAAGAGACAAAATGTCTCACTTTATTGCATACTTTCTAGTCGACAGAGTGGAAAAACAGGCTCTGAAAACGTGGAAAATTTGGCATAATTTGTTTTTCCAGCTGAAATTTGCAAGTAAAAAACTGCAGTTCGCCTCGCAGACATCAGCGCCATCGCGGCAACAGCGGCAGTCGCTTCCAGTGGTGTTTCCAGTCCGTCATTGTTTTTCGCTTTTTTCGGGTTGAAAATTACACAAAGGCGATCGCGAGAATGAGTTCCGGCGGAAATCAGCACAGCAGCAACACGAGCAGCAGCGAGGACTACAATGAGGGCGCCGAGGAGCGGCGCAGGAAGCGCATCAAGAACCGCACGAGGTGAGAAACCTTTTTCTGGGGCACTCCCGGGGGGCTTCCGTGTCTACTCTGTCTGTCTGTCTCTCCTCCGCCCCCGTAGCTACGGATCTTGCTCGAAACCCAAGTCGTGCCTTGTGCAGCGCGCCTGCGATCGCGGCCACTGTGCTCAGAACAGGCAAGTCCACACACACACTGTCGGCGCTGCCCAGGGACTCTCGCCCCAAACTCTCGCCACTGCGCACTCACGGAAGTCACTCACGGGTGCGCTTCTCTTTGGCAGGAACCCCAGGGCGGTGGTGGGCGTGAAGCCGCAGCACAAGAGGCCACAGAACAGCCAGAGCCAGCAGCCGAATCTCCCGATGCCGTCCACGAGCACGCAAGTGCTGGAGGAGCGCATCACGCTCGTGGTGGACAACTCACGCTTCGTCATCGATCCCACACTCTTCACGGCACACCCCAACACCATGCTGGGCCGCATGTTCAGCTCTGGTCTGGAGTTCATGCATCCCAACGAGAGGAATGAGTACGATGTGGCCGAGGGCATCTCGGCCAGCGTGTTCCGCATCATCCTGGACTACTACAAGCACGGCGTGATCCGCTGCCCGCCCACGGTGTCTGTGCAGGAGCTGCGCGAGGCCTGTGACTACCTTCTGGTGCCTTTCGACGCCACCACGGTGCGCTGCCAGAATCTGAGTGAGTATTTCCCAACTGTCCTGTGCTCAGAACTTCTCGCGAAGAGTACTTCTGGACTTGTGATTAATTGCAAGACCACATTCCGCTTCAAGGAGGCTTCCTGCATGAGCTGAGCGACGAGGGCGCGCGCTGTCAGTTCGAGGTGTTCCTGGAGGAGCTCATCCTGCCTCTCATGGTGGCGTCGGCGCAGCGTGGCGATCGCGAGTGTCACGTTGTGGTGCTCCTGGACGATGATGTGGTGGACTGGGATGAGGAATATCCACCGCAGATGGGCGAGGAGTACTTCCAGAGTAAGTCATCTGCGGCAGATTGAGTCCAGGGCGTGTTTTCTCATCACTCTGACTGTCCTTCCAGCTGTGTCCAGCACACTTCTCTATCGCTTCTTCAAGTACATCGAGAATCGCGACGTGGCGAAGCAGGTGCTGAAGGATCGGGGCCTGAAGAAGATCCGCCTGGGCATTGAGGGCTATCCCACGCACAAGGAGAAGGTGAAGAAGCGTCCCGGCGGCCGCGCTGAGGTGATTTACAACTACGTTCAGCGTCCGTTCATTCACATGTCGTGGGAGAAGGAGGAGGCCAAGAGTCGCCATGTGGACTTCCAGTGCGTGAAGTCCAAGTCGGTGACGAATCTTGCTGAGGCCACGGCGGATCCCATCATTGAGCTGGACGCCGCCGGGAATCCGCTGCCCGCGGCGCAGCGTCTGCAGGCGCAGGCGGCGGAGGGTGAACTGAGGCGGGAGTTTGTGGTGGAGCCCGAGGAGGGTGCCGTCGGTGGGATACTCAATGACCTGGAGCCTCTGCCGCCGGATGAATAGGATGAGATTTTCTACTTCTTCTAAGACTCGCACAAAAGAATTCAAAAAAAATGCGCACAAAACACACTCAGCTTCGTGAGATTCTCTGCTATCCTGCCCTCGAACTGCCCCAGCAGTCTGGACACAGCATGTCCGCTGCGCAGTAGATTCCCTTGACTTCCGGAACATCGTGTTGACTGACGGGGTATTTTTTGAGACATATATATACATATAAATATCGTGTAAATTTCGTTCATTTATTGTAAATGTTTTTAAAAAGGCATTTTTTACAAGATTTAGTGATACACTTTGTCCGTGGAATTGTGCTTGACAGTTCCCGGTGAGAATGTTGAAGAGTCCCGATTCCTTGTAATCCTAATATTAGTGTGTTGGTCGATTTTGGGACCGGGAACTGTCCGGGTGTGGAAAGGCTGAATTTTGTAGAGGAATGAAGTGAATATAATTAACGAAGGACATTAAGTTTTAGGCTCTTTGCACTCTCCCAAGAGATCACCAGTCCTCGGACTGGTGAGCGTGACCGGCTGAGGGTCAAATGTCCCAGCCGAAGGATCGCTCCACGGCCATCTTCCACTTGGAGTAGCGCATGTCGCGCTCATCCACGCCGATCTTCGGCTCGTAGCGGATGCTCTCCATCGGCACCTCGATGGTCTTCACGTCCCACTTCCCCACGGCGCACGCGGCCATCATCGCGGCGCCCAGAGCCGTGGTCTCCGCCATGCGTGGCTTGATGATCTCCAGGCCGATGAGGTCGGACTGGAGCTGCATCAGCAGCCGATTCTCCGTCATGCCGCCGTCCACGCGCAGCTTCTGCAGCGGAATGCCACAGTCGCTGTTCATGGCGCCCAGGATGTCGCGCACCTGGAAGCAGACAGCCTCCAGTGTCGCGCGGACAATGTGGCTCTGCTGGGTGTCTTCCGTGATGCCACAGATCACGCCACGCGCCTCCTGATTCCAATACGGAGCGTACAATCCGCTGAATGCCGGCACGAAGTAAACATCTCCGGTGTTGTCCACACTCTTGGCCAGCGGTTCGGAGTCCTTGGCGCTGGAAATCATGCCCATGTTGTCCCGGAGCCAGCCCAGAGCGGCTCCAGCGATGGCCACGGAGCCCTCGAGGGCGTAAACTGGCGCTGCGTCCTTCCCAATCTGATAGGCGACAGTCGTGAGCAGTCCGTGAGTGGAATCCACAAACACCGTTCCTGTGTTGTACAGCAGAAAGCATCCCGTGCCGTACGTCGCCTTGGCCTGGCCACGTTCCAGGCACTGCTGTCCCACCAGAGCGCTCTGCTGATCGCCCAGACATCCCGACAGAGGCACTCCCTGAAGCACACCACTCGCCATGCGTCCGTAAATCTCGCAACTGCTCCGGATCTCGGGCAGGAGCTCCGAGGGGATCTCAAAGAAGCTGCACAGCTTTGCATCCCAGCGCAGAGTCTCGATGTTCATCAGCATCGTGCGCGAGGCGTTCGTCACGTCAGTGACATGCTGTCCTCCTTGAGCGCCGCCGGTGAGGTTCCACAGGAGCCACGTGTCGATGGTGCCGAAGAGGCAGTTGCCCGCCTTGACAGCCTCCCGGACTCTGGCCACATGCTCAATCAGCCAGCGAAGCTTCACGGCGCTGAAGTACGGCGACAAGGGCAAGCCGCAGAGTGGCTGCGGAGGAGAATCATATCTTATCACACGCGCTGGAAGCTATAAAGCTAATCCTCAGAAATACCTTCAAGTAATTCTTGTTTCTCGTCTTGTTCGGCACCTTGTCCAGCAACTCGTCCACCGTGGCAGACGTCCGCATGTCCAGCCACACGATGGCATTGTGCAGAGGACGTCCGTCCTTCCTGTTCCACACCACTGTCGTCTCGCGCTGATTGGTCACGCCCAGCGCCACGATGTCCTCCTTGCAGCCACCCAGCTCTGTCAGCTTCCTCACCGTCTCCTCCAGACACTCCCGCACAGCGGTCAGGATCTCCATCGGGTCCTGCTCCACCCATCCTTCCTGCGGGTAAATCTGCCGGATCTCCTTCTGGTGGAAGCACACCACCTCAGACGTCTCCACCTTGAACAGCAACACTCTGGCCGACGAGGTGCCCTCGTCAATTGCCCCCACGAGCGGCCCGAATTTCCCAGAACCCACCATTTTCACTCAAAGTCGCCCTGACACTGATAACCGTGGGGAAAGTCGGCTGACTCGCAGCCTGGAATGCGAACCTGGAATGTTTTGATTGACAGCTGATCGGCGACATAACCTCACTCGTGTACGAAGGGGAAAAGCAAAACATTGTGGAAAATAATGAAAATCCCCTGAAAGACACATTCCAGATCGTCCAGGATGTTTGGATTCCGATGTGTTCGTCTCAATATTCGCTCTGTTATCTTTATAATGCTGTCATTCTTCCTAAACACCATAAAATTCTCCCAAACAGGTGAGTTTCTTGTTTCCCGAACTCTTTAGAATTGCTATTCTGAGATATTTATGGTATTTTCTTGATTCCCAGCTATCAATGAAATGGACAATATGCCTGTGAAGTCCGAGAGCCACAAGACAGTGAACACATCAGCGTTTAGATCGATTGTAAGTAATCCATTCTTAACCATCCGGAAAGGGAGTTGATTGCCATTGTTTCCCTTTGTCAGACCTCTGATGATGTTTCTGCGTGTCCCAGTAATCTCGAGTGTAGCAAGTTGAACTTCCCCTGCATCTCCTGCTCGTACAACCTCTCCTGCATCTACGGAAAGCCCATGAATGTGACGTGCGAAGCGCGCCAGAACGTGCAATGCCGGGAGAACAGGGAGTTCGTCCGCACGGCCATCTGTCGCTATTGCTACCAGACGGAGCCCTGGGAGCACACTTGCGTCCGCAAGGCGCCCTGCCACGCCTCCTATCGCACCAACTGCACCGTCTTCCCGGACGTGCTGTGCCTGGGCCACAGGACGTTCTTCAAGAACGTCAACTGCAACTGGACGCAGGGCTTCAAGTGGTCCACGGCGCTGATCATCAGCATCACGCTGGGCGGCTTCGGCGTGGACAGATTCTATCTGGGGCACTGGCAGGAGGGCATTGGGAAGCTGTTCAGCTTCGGCGGACTCGGCATTTGGACGCTAATCGATGTGATACTCATTTCTCTCCACTATCTCGGACCCGCTGACGGATCGCTTTACATCTAGACATTTTGTGGATGCATTTCTCATGGAAAATAGATAGTGTAATTGGTTTAATTGAATGGAAAATGCGTGTTTTTCTCAAGGTTCGGTTTGTGTCTCAACTCAATCACACTCAGAGAAATTTGTGTGAATTTGTTGGATAAGAAAAATCACAGTTTCAGTGTAAATGTAGAGAAGCTTTTATTGATTCAATATGTTTATTAGTAATTAGTGCTACTTAATAGCATTATTAACCTCCATTATTTACTCAAATATTATATATATTACATTGTATTTAGATAGGAGTTAAGTTTTGATACTTGAGGAGATAATCTACGGATGTTAGGGATTAGTTGGTCTCCGAGAGTGGTTACAATGCGCATTGCAGAGTTGCATAGTAGCATTTGGCACTTGATTGTGGTCTCGTGGCGGGCTCAGATCATGCCGTAGTCCGTGCAGAGGGACGGCAGATGGCCGGGCTTGCTCTTGTCCTGGCTGTTGGCCATGTTCAGCTCCACGAGTGTGTCGATGCTATTGATGCTGACGCCCTGGAGGATCTTCTGTGCCGCCAAGGATGTGAAGTTGAAGCTCAGATCCGTGAGGCTGGGAAAGTTGTACAGATCGCCGCCGGAAGTGGTGCCGGAAACCTCCTTGGACAGACTGAGTCGGCGATCGAGTTGCTCCTTGTCGATGTTGCTCTTGTCCAGCACTTTCTTGCACTCCGTGTTCTTGGCCACGAGATTCGGCTCGCTGCCCACGGCCACGATGTTCTTCTGCAGTATGTGCGCCAGGGAGTCGGTGTTGATGGCGGGACTCGAGGTCAGCGCCTTGCGATCCATCTGCAAGTTCTTCAAGTCACAGTGCGAGTTGAGCTTGTCCACGATGCGCAGATTCCCCATCGAGCCCGCCACCTCGTCGCTGAACCGGAAGACGTTCTTGTTGTTCACCGGCGACGTGGGATCCGACTCGTTGCTCTTCAGCACGTTCTTGTACACGATGTTGCGTCCGTTGTTGCACTGATTGCCCATCTTGCGGCTGTTGTTCATCGTGGCGTCGTTGTTCACGTTCTTCGTGAACTTGGTGTTCTCGGCATCCAGGATCTCGTTGATGAGCGGCGTGACGCTGGAATTGGGCGAGTTCTCGCTGATGAGGGACAGCGAGTCGCCGGTCTCTGAGTCATCGAACTGTGTCTCCAGCGGTGGCGGGATCTTCGTGAGGTGCCTCTGGATGAGCTCTCCGTTGGCATTCTTCACAGTCTCATTGTTGATGATGAACACATTGGGGTTGTCGCACAGCTTCCCGTTCTCCAGCGTGATCACGCTGCGCACTGGTGAGTTCTGGACGAAGATCTTCGTGCTGGGCGGCGTCGCGACGTTCCCCGACGTGGTAACTTGGAGGGTGATGGAGTTGTTGGACGTGGAGCCGGCGACTCGGCTCACCGGCACCTCCTCGCCCTTCGTGGAGCTGCCCGTGGACGTGGTCTGTCGCAGGTGAGGCTTCACCTTCTGATGGCTGGGCGAGGAGCGCGGCGAGATGCCCACTTTCGGCGGCCTGGAGGACGTCGAGGCCTGCGAATCCAAGCTGGAGTGTCCGCTGGTGCGGCTGAGCGTCATCTTCCCGCTGTCGATGCTCGACGGTCCGGACAGGAGGGACGTCTTGCCGCTCTCGATGCTGGATGGGCCGCTGTGGAGGTGTCTGAAGTGGCGCGGATCGTCGATCCGCTGCTTCGCCTTGGCGCGATTCTGCTCATCCAGGACGCTCTTGGAGGCCAGCGATTTGGCCGTGGGCTTCACCGAAGATGGGATGGAGTGCGTGGATCGCGGCAGGCTGCCGCTACAGTAGGCCGGGGATCTCCGTCTGATGGGCGAGCAATCCCTGGACCAGATCAAGAATGTCGACTCGCTGGACATGTGCCGACGATGGCGTCGCGGAAGCGTGGATGATCGCTGACTCAGCTCCGAACCGTCGTAGAAAGTGGAATTGGACAGAGTGTGCGTCATCGGGACGTCCTGGAAGCAGACAGAGAATTTAGCCGAGTCCCAGGCTGGTGGCTGGAGAGAACTTACGTGATCTGTGGTCTGAGTGCCGACGCTGTGAAGGTGAACGGCGCGCGAGTTGAACCACTCAAGAGGCGGAAATTGTGCTGAGAAAGTCTCGATCTGGCGCTGCTTCGATCGTCCACTGCGCCGGAAGAGTCGTGACAGCAGAGAGCCCTTCTTCGGCGACGACGAGTCTGTGCTTTGGTTCTCCGAGCTGCTGCTGTCCGCCGTCACGGCGAGGGCGTACGTCTTCGTGAGGCTTCTAGAAATGAAGATGGCACCGGTGAAAACCCTTTCTCTTTCATCGCGATCGTGCCTGTGATCTCTCGTGTGGGATTTTTTTTCTGTGTCTCTCTCCGCAGCCGATATCCAACCGCGGAGACGCCAATCACACGTGATTTGCATGGGAATTTGGACGCGCCACAGAAGGAAGTGATTCACTCTCGTGATCTCTTCAAAAAATGAAGATCACTCGATAGCCAAAACCGATCACACACGCTTTCATTTTCTAGGGACGCTTTTCTTTTCATTTTTAATCATCAACATAAATATATTTCCTCAATCAAGGGGGAGATAATGTAGCTAAAATGAGTACAAGAATTCCTGACGCTTCCACAAGTTGTATAGAAAAGGATTGAAAGTCTCAAAACATTTAATGAGACTAGAATTAGCGATATTCCGTTAAATATACTGATAATTTTGATTTCACGACTCAAAATCGACTGAAATCTAACCCAAATCTAACTCACAATTTTACAACTAAGCTTTTCAAGCAATTTTTAATGATTTTCTTCTTCAAATTGCACTGTTGGGTTTCATTTATGATCTTTTGAATGACACTGAGTAGATTCTGATGAACAAAAACTTCTCAGAGCTTAAAATTGCAGCTGTTAAATGAAAAAAAGTTAGGTTATGTTGCACTTTACTCTATTTTTCGTCACTGAGCTTCGAGAAATTTAAATAATTTGTAGAAAATTTATATTTTAACGAGTTAAACACTTCCTAAGACTTCTGCTAAGTTGTACACCACTTCTGAGCATATTATCTCCCCCTTGTCTTCAATCATCCTCTGCATATGTTATGAAACTTCCTCTGAGATTGAGTTGATATTTGATTTGCGATCTCTGGTATTTCGCATTTTTCAAAAATTAATATTAATTGCCCTGGTCGTTCCCACTGAACCCTCTTTCTCTCGCCATCAAATCCCATAGAACAATTTTGTGAACTTTTTTTTTGCTGGCGCGCAGTGCGAATTCAGTGAAGATTTATGAGTCACAAAATTGAGAAATTAAAGTCACTGGTTGAGAGCAAATGATATCGCAAGTGAAAAATCAAGTCCGCCAGGCAAAGAGAGAGAGAGAGAGAGATTGTCGTAATGATTTTATAATTTGCAGCCTGTGTGGCGTGCGTGTGAGAAAGATAAGTGATCGCACCTTGTTGAGGAGCATCTCTGGAGTCGCTTGGAGGAGCCGAAGAGTCTCATGCTGTGACGCCTCTCGAGACTCCGTGGGGCTGGAAATGAGGCACTTCGGCGCTTTGAGCTTCTGGCGTACATGATCTTGTCATTGGGATTGCCTGCAAGGAGAGGATCGCGTGAGATAAGGGATCCTGGGCGCGCGCGCCCGCGGGATCTTCAGATACGCACCACCGCAGATAACATCCGCCAGATTGGTCTGAATGCACTGGTGAGTCAAGTCGCCGTCTCTCTCCGTTGATATCTCACCGTAGAGATTGTGAAGTGCCTCTGAGTTGGTCAGGAGAATGGTTCGCGCCTCCTGTGGCTCGTCCTCGTAAGTTTCGTCCAAAGATCGATGATCCCGCGGTCGAGATCGACTTCTTCGACGTCTGCAAACATGGAAAGAGAGCAAGAAAATCAAGCTCCTCTTCAGCAAAGTGCCCAGAAAGTGTCTTACTCTGGTGTTACGATAAAGTATCCCTTGGCCGTTTGGTAGATCTTCCGCTCCTGCATCAGCTGAACCAGCGTGTCGTAGATCGTCTCAACTGACGGCGGTTGCATGTGTGGAAATCTGCGGGCGAAGGACAGCAAATTAGCACTCTCGCGCTAAGGTCGAAAATTGATTCGCATAATTGAATGACAAACAAGAAAAATATAATAGGAAGTACAAACATATCGTAATTCATTGGGTCATTATGTACATGCCCAACTTTTCCCTCAAAAACTCACAAAAATTCCATACAATGAGCATTACCAGCAAAATATTTACAACTTTGCGCGGAGATCACTTTGAAAGCCATACCTTTAATGCGTGTGTGTGTCTGTTACAATATTATTGCAAATTAGCACCCAAAAAAGGCCTTTTTCGTAACTTTTTCTACATGGTAAATTTTTATTTCCTTTGTTAGTTAATTAAATGAGTGTTATGTTTTCATGCGAGAGGAGTGAAAACATAACACTCTCTGGGATGGTTAGCAACTTTTATTGCTATTTTGTGTCTCAGATATGGATCAGTGAATTTATAGTTAATGCAGTGTGTTACTGAGCAACACCTGCGAACATCATCCAGAATATTCTAGAGGAGGTCAAAGAAGAGAACTTCTATTGCCCAATAAACAACTGAAAATGCTACTCTTTCAGCTCAAAGTATTCCCATCGCCACAAGATCTCGAGAAATGCTACTGAAGATGGAGGAAAACAAACATAAAAATGTCTCTTCAAAACACTTTCTTCGTCAATCTGACTGAGTTAGGAATTTTTAATGCAATTTTAGAATACTTTTGAGATAAAAAAAGAGATATATTGTTGACAAGTTTGTATCATGATAAGTTTGAAGCCATTCGACGTAATCCTTCATCCCTTTAGGACACTAAACCCTAAACTATGCAATAATTCTCTAAATTAAATAGAATTTCCTGTGTAACACTTGAATTCTTGCCACTTTAACATGTTTTGAGTTCTTAATAGGGTTTAAATGAATCCGAGGAGTCTTCAGGATAATTATCCTGTTGACTATCATTATTTATCTGGAATCTATAAGTGTTTGATATCAAAATTTGCTTGAGATACCTATGAAATTTTGGATCCATTTTTTGGTGTTAAAAATTTGATATTACTTTCAATTTTCGAGACATTTACCTTAAGACGAAATTTTTTTTAATTTCATGATCTTTCAAATGACGTTGAGATCATCGCAATATCTCAATTCAAAGCCGAGATATTGCAAAATGCAGAGAGATGTGCGCAAAAGGACAGTGAAAATTAAGTTAGGACAAGGATAATTACATTAAATGATGAGTTTAGAATGACTAGAAGGCATTTACATCATTAAGCGCTTTGATTTGAACTTGTTAACTTGCTTTTTGTGTGTTTTTAGCTACTGTTTAATGCTTTTATACAATTTCTTCATGATTTCAAAGAGTTATTTTGAATAAATTTCTTATTCTTTCACTTAAAAACGCGCATCACTTCACCTGATTGTCAGCTTTATCTTAAGATTCTCAAGCGTGGCCGACTGTCCTTGCGATGTGAGATCCATGATGACGTCACACAGGGCCTCCGGAAGGGGTGTAAACTGTCCCTTGGCAATCGGCGTGAGGATGCAGTCGTCAATGTCGCCTGCGGAGGAGAAGAGAAAGTTACAATGCGGTGGAAAATCGATAGTCTCCATTGAAAATTCAGAACACATTCCCTCAGGGATTTCAACACACACACAGAGACACAATGAAGGGAAAATCCCGACCCTCCAGAATCTCAAATCGCAGTGGGAAGAGTTGTTCGTGGAAAAATCATCAGGCCGTAGCAAATGATTTCAGCATTTCAGTTGCTCTTTCTGTGCTACAATTTGAATCATTAAACTCTCCTCATCTTCTTTTTTTCTTCCCTCTCTGCAAGAGACTCTGTGAAATTCAGTGAATTCCGTGAGAACGCGACAGTCACAAGTTGACCACACTTGCGGCACAATTTTTGCACAGTTCTTTTCATATGATCTTTCTTCTTGAATCCCAACAATTTGCCTCGTCAGCGTAACGACATAACAATTGTAATTGAGCTGAACCGCACTGAGAGCCTATATATATATATATATGTATGAATTTTGAGTGAAACGTTTTGCATTCCTAATTAAAATGTAATACACGCGTAATAGACAATTTTGGCCATGCGCGCGTGAATTTAATGCAAAAAGCCGCAATAATAAAACTTGAGAGAGAGAGAAAAAAAAGTGCAGGAAATTGCCTTCGGAAGTGGGGAAAATCCTGAAAAGGTGCGGCGTCTCATGAATCATATTTCGGATGCTAATGGTGTGGATGAGGAGCCTGAGAGCCAACCTTTCTAATGAGCTCAAAATAATTAAAAATCATCCCACCGTTCCGCCCAGCGTTAAGAGCCCAAATATGCCAAATGTTTCACCTTCTGCGAAATTGGGATTCTTCTCCAAAAGGTCATTACCGTGTGCGCTAAGTGATCTGCGAGATGACACAGAAAGTGATGGATTTCCATGGGAAAGAAATGCGAGTCTGTCGAATTGTGTGTTTCCAAGACAAGGTTGAAGAAATTTGCACGAGAGGACAAGTGCATCACATCCATCAAGAGGGTTGATTGAGGTCAAATTTCCCACCTGGAATTCCGATATATTTCTACCGTTTCACCGACTTTCGCTTTTGCCTCAAAAAAGCGCGCGCATATTGAATAAGTGAATATGCTCAAAGTGTCGTCCTTATCTTCACCAACAACCCCTTTTAAATCCCCTTTAAGAACATATTGTGCTCAAGTGGAAAATCGCAGACAAAAGCCCCGTATTTTCTCAAATTTATTCATAGTTTCTTTGCCGATGCTATGAAAGGAATTATTGTAATTTGGCGACCCTTTTTTTGCTGTCAAACACGGGGGGGAAATATTGCGCAAAAGTGGAGATGAAGCAGAAAAAAAACACCACCTTTCCAGCAAAACTGCAATGCGGAAGAAACTGATACAGAGAAGAAGAGAAGAGAAAAAATTTAGAGTGGCGATAAAGTCATCTCGTGAGAAAGACGTCTTGGTGGATTTTTTGTGCGCCGTTTCACCTTGTCTGGCAAAGAGTTGTGCGAATGATGACAATAAGGAAAAATCTTCGTGGCGTATGGATTGCCTCACAAAGTGCACTCTATTTGACGAGAGATTGGAAAGAGTGGCGATGAGATTGAGTGAGTGCAGAATGTTGAATTGCTCCGAAACGACCTTCACTGATTGATGGGTTAAGTATTTCTAATATCCCTGGTCGGCTGTCTGGCGCAGGTGAGAGAAACAGAGGCTCGATTGGGAAGAGAGGCATTGCAGGTGAACTGGAGGAAAAAAGCCCCATCATCAGTGAGAGATTCCGCAGACAAAAACGTCGATTATGCGTGCTGAAGACGAGGAAGCGGTCGTTTTTCTGCGTTATATTCAAATTTCGCACTGCAGAAGATACTCGAGGAGCAAAAAATGCGATATTCGACCGCGGCAAAAATTTAATTGTCCAGTGAAAGTAAATTATACACCTTTACTCTCCTTAACCACACAGTCGCGGCGAGTTGCTGGCTGAAGTCTTGCAATGGAGAACATGGAGTTGAACACAGCCCGAACGATATGCCCTGCAGACTTTCTGGTAGCGCAGATTATTTATTGGCCACAGGGATTTTCTCCAGTCCCTGGCCATAGTTTGTGCTGCAGCACAATAGCCGTGATTTCTAGAGAGCACAAAATTGACGGCAATGATGATCGACAGCGTGTTTGTCTTATTTTGTGTGCAGAGATAATTTGGCGGACGCGGAGAGAGACCGAAAACTTTCATTGAAATTAGTGCCAAAATGTCTTGAAGAAATTTCTTCATTTGTGTCTTATGTTGAAAATTAATGACAAGCTAGAGAAAAAGACGCCAGAGCCGTGATTGGCGACTGAATCCGATTGCGAAATGAGACGGAGAGAGAGAGAGAGATTGATAAAATCAGCGATATATCAAATTATGGGTGGAAAATGCTGATAAGAGAAAATGTACATTAGCAAATGATGCCAGAATCGAGGCAATAAATCGTCAAAATTGCAATGCCAACAATGAGATTGCACCGATTTCCATACACGCCAGACTCTCACTACAGCAATTTTGCTGAATGGCACCGACAATTTTACAATCACATCGCTGCTCTTCCTATATATCCGTCCACCCAGTGGAAATCTTCTCTCTTTTTTTCTCTCTCTATGACTTCTTTTATGCGTCCCACCAACTATCAAACAACCGACAATAAATTTTCATTTTATTGTGCGGAAAGAGGAAAATTTGTCTGACTGGATTCTCACGTCTCAAAGATGCATTTACGATTGCCAACAACAACATCCCAGTGAATTAATGCATCTTTGCAATACTGTTAGTTATCGTGGCGCAGTGGGAAAATGTCTTTTTGTTATTTTTGCACCACAATTGCTGTGTTGCTCAATTAATTTTCCTTTTAATTTCCACTCGTAGAAATTCTCGAAATTAACACTGAAATTTCTGACTAATTAATTATGGCTCCCACTTTGTTTTCCGTGAAAAATGTGAAAAGGAAAGTGTCATTGTCTTATCACACTTGCGATGAGTGCAGAGAGTGTTTGAACAAGGGGGAGATAAGACGGCTAAACGGTGTACACAATTTCTGAGATGAATCACAGACACTTCCAGAACTTCAGTAGTGCTTAAAGCATGCGTTTTCCTTATTTTCTTCTCCTTTTTCGGAATGTCACAGATTTTTTCAACCGTTTAAAGTATCATAACCTCAAATTTAGGGGGTTTTTTACCCAAAAATAGACGCAATTTTTACTTGTATATGTTTAAAATTTAAGGAGAATCAGTTTTCAAGAAATATTTGAATATTTCATCACACTTTTCGATGCACTTTGGATCATAACCTAAAAATTATCTTAAGATTAAGAAGAATCATTCAAAGAATCTTCCTCGAAATGCTTTAAAGGCAAATTTGAGGAATAATTATATATTTTGGACCTATTTTAGAGTAGAAAATCAATCAAACAGCTCTTAAAATAGACAATTTTGTATCCTGAAACAATATTTTAGAGGTTATGATCAATAATAGTACAATTAACACAGTTAACCATTGAAAGCTTGTGATATTCATCAAATTTCATTATTATTGTGCCTTTTAAGGGAAATTATGCCAGCTAAGGCACAAGGAAGAATGATTTTTTAGGTTATTTAGTGGAAAAATGTGTCTTAAATTCATAACATAACCTAGAAAAATTGTAAAAAACAATTCTTTTTCACCAAGTATTGCTCTAATTTCTTTTGAAAGTAACATTTGAAGGCATCATATTGATGATATTGAGACACTTCCCATTCTAAATACTTCTACTGAGTTGTACACCACTTCTGATCATGATATCTCCCCCTTGTGTTTGAATAAACTTTCCAATGCACTGAGGGAAGAATCAAAGTAATTAGTTGAACATTCTTCTGGACGAAAAAAGCTCTCGAATCAATAAATATATTGATAAATGATCTTTTTGCTTTGAATTAGACAATATTGCTTTTCGTGCTTCACTTAACCCAGTTTTGTTTTCACTTATTATCTCGCCCCAAAAATTGTGTAACTGTCAAAACAGCATCAAAGACACATTTTGTTAGTTACATAAATTCCTTTATGCGCCTTCAACGTGCGATCATTCCCTGTCCCTCGAATGTTTTCAATACTATGCTTTTCATTTTGCAAAACGTCGTGCCTTAATTTATTCACCAGATCGAGTTTCACGGATTCACGGCGGGTTAATTAGCTGACAAACACGTGTTTTCACTGCCTCTCCAAAAATTGTGTCATGAAATGTGATAATCTTGTGATTATTCATCGACTTCTTGAAGTCTTCTTGCCTCTTTGCAACTGCCTAATTGAATGTGCGACGATTGCGAAATGTCTCGGTGTGGAGTATATGTATTGATAAGTGTATTTTTGGGCGATAAGTGCTCAAGACGCGGGAACAATGGACAAAAGAACGATGAGGTCAGTAACTTGGCGTTGCGAATTGTGTGAAACATTTGTGGTTGCGTGTCGAAATTGGTGACGTTTAGTGGCTTTTGTTGACGAGAGCCTCTTAAATTATGGTGTCTTTGGCGCTAAATGCTCCTCTTCAATTTGTCCGGCGGAGCATTAATGGCCTGAGAAGATCGCCATGCGCATATTTTAATCAATTCTTCCGCCTTGTGTCGTGAGTGCAACGCATTAGTGCGGCGATTTGGCACAAAAGTGTGTGTGTGTCTTCCTCATTGGCCGCTAAAGTGGCGACCATTCTGCAGAATGGCAATCGAGTGTCGCTCTCTGGAAGACATTTACGCGCTCCACGGAGGAGAGCATTTCATTCACGCAAGACTTCATCTGGTCCATTGTTTGGGCGCAGAGTAAAAACACCGATGATGCTGCTGATGCGCGAAGCGCGGGGAAATACAACCTCATTGATGCGTGCTTATGAAACACGGAACTTTGCGGGTCTTTCACGGTGTCAACATGCTCAACAAAAGTCTGTGATTTGTAGCCAAGGAGGCTGAAAAGCAGAGATTTACATCCATCATTTGCAATCACACGGAATTGCAGATATCGCGCAAGATCATCGCGCGAGTGATCTTGCACGATGAGCCGTGAGAGATTGCAATCTTTCTCTGAAGATTGAGTGGTGTGAATTATGAAAAACCAAGCGTGATATTTCCCGATTAGCATGAATAAAAAAGAAGATGATAATAAGACGATCCAAGGCGAAGCTATAGTTTTGCCGACATGTGATCATGACCTTGCGTCTTGTTAGGGATTAAAACGAAAGAAAGAAAAAAATCTCAAGAAACCAACAATCGTAAATAATTTTATTACTTTTCCTTTTCACAATCACTCCAGCAAAATGCCTGTTAATTAATCCCGCAAAACTTTTACTACTCTTTGTGTATTTCGAAAAAAACATTTCCAATCTGATAACGATCATAGAGTGAATTTCTCACTCAATAAATCTGAGTGTGAAGATTTTCCTTCATTGAGGCGCATCACTAATTAAACAAATGCCGGTGATATTCCGTCAAAGATTAAGCAAAATCGCCGGATGAAATCATTGAAATTAATTCCCCATTGTTTCTGTGCCATTGAAAATATTACACGCTGATCATAATATATAGAAAATCGGAAGATCGCTCGTGGCATGATCCAATTTCCCAGCATGAAAATTACCCATCAAGCAATTGCTGCACATTAACCCATATCCAAGGCAATTTTCACAGCAAATCTCTCAATGCTCTGCTCCTCAATTTGCCCATCAAGAGCAGCAACAACAGCACCTCTCAAAAATCCATCCACTCGCGCGAATGATATTCTCACAGCGAAAATTCAATATCATAGCTTTAATGATGGCGAAATGTGTGAAAAAGTGTCGATTTGTTTCAAGCGAATGTATTTGTTTATTGCTCTCTTCCCGCCCCAGCAAAATTGTCAACATTTCAACAATGATTTCAACAGTTACCCAGCGAAATGCCACAATTGTGGGAGGAGGGCAAAGCCACCACGTGGTGGCAAACAATGGCGAATTGCAATCTCCTCACGCGGGATCCCGTGAGAATTCCCTCATTTGAGGGCCTCAATACATCGCGTCTATATATAGAAACTCATGTGAATTTGAGCATTTCCTATTGTCTGCCCAACAAACACACATTTTCAGCTCAATCAAATTTAGACCTTTATTGAGGCGCCCCGGCAAAGGAAAGCCAGCGCAATGTGCGAATTGGAAACTGGCTGCGGCTGATCTGGAAAGTGGATTCACGCAGAAAGCCAAAGTCGCACGGCGTTAAATTGGGAAATCGAAAAATGATCGCACGAGACCCCGATGAAGATCACATCACAACAATGGGGGAGGTGAACAAAAAGGTGCCGTTGTGCAAGAGATCAGCGAAGGTGAAAAAGAAATGCAAGGCATTTGCCAATTCCCACAATCTTCCATTGCATGCAATGATAAAACCTTTTGGGACGAATGCACTTCTTCATTCTCCTTCAAAATCATGTGATTGTGCATTCTGCCAGAGCAGCTGTGCGTCAGAAAACTTGCGATTTTCATGAGATTTCCCAGATTTTCAATGTGCCATTAGGAAAATACAAAGAGCAAGACACAAGGCGATTTTTGGGGAATCTTGACTGTCTCAATTAAATATATAACTACTGATTTATTACTTTGTATGAGAAAAAAGTCAAATAATTGAAATATGGATTGAAAAAGATCCAAAAAATTGATTATTTTTCAAGTAAAATTGCAAAATAATTAAAATTTGAATATTTTCAAGCAAAATATTGAAATAAATCAAATTATATTTCAATATTTTCAGAATATTTCATTAAAATTTAAATATTTGATGATTTTCTCTACATATGGACACTAGAGGGCAGCAAAGTCGGCGTGGGGGACGCTAATAATATCCCATTTTTGCTTGATTTCTTTCTCTTCTCACGCATTTTCACACTTTTCGACTTCCTGACGTGATCCTGGCAAGGAGAGAAGGAAACTTGAAGGCTAGAGTGATGTTTTCGTGTACAAAAAGACCGAAATCACGATCAGCTGATCAGTTTATCAAGCTTAAAAGCCATGAATAAGTTCCGATTGTATTAATTTGAATCCAGTTTGTGGTAAATTTGTGACTTTTTCTCTCTCTTTTTTGCCAAAATATATAATTTAAATAACAATCAGGGAATATTAATAAAAGATTGAATAATCATAAAATGAATGGTCTCAAATCGTGAACAAACAAGGAATATTTTACATGAGAAATATCAGTGTTACTTTTAATAGATTTTCATAAAATCCATCAGAAATGATCTTTTATTGCGCTATTATCTCATGGACAATGGAATTGGAATAAATTTCCCAGTGAATAAGGACTTTAAATATGTGCAGCTTAACAAGCAATAAGGAAAACATGAAAGCATTCCAATCATTCTAATCCTTCGTTTGTTCAGCTCAAAATGTCAATTGAAATCACTTGCAATTTCCATCACTTTAGAGTGTCTGTTCTGCTCCACCAGCGTGACATTTGACGGGGTCGAGGGAGGATTTGGGAGGCCAAAGAGGGGGTGAATAAATTAAATTGCCGCACACTCACCGACTGAGCTGATGATGTAAGTTGGGGGTGGTTTCAAGACACTCCTGGCGTAAGCGCCGCGCAACACCTGAAAGACGAAGGAAGTAATGAGATGTCAAGCTGGAAAAGGTCAGAGAATTAAGGAACTGACAAAGACAAACACCTCTCGAACCACTATTTTACTATTTTACATGCCGAATCTCGTTTTGCCCGTATTTTTGCATTCCAAATCACACTTGTGATTCAATATTCACGGGGAATTGTTTACAGCTAAATTAAAAGCCCGAAGGATGGACTTTAACTGCTAATTGTGAAAATCAGTCAAGGAGATTCCGTGTCAAAAATTCAGCACACGATCTTACGACTCATATAAATATTAATGAGAATGTCGAGGGGCTTCAAACTGGGCAAATCTAATTATTGAAGTGAAACTGTCACAGGGAATTTCAGTGCAATTTGTGCAATTGCACTGCATGATCTCGCAGATAATGATCTGCAATTGCAAAAGCACTAAACACATCCAATTTATGCGCAGCAGGAAATGCGCAATTTGAATTTATTTTGAATCATTTAACGTTGATTGAGTCTTAACGTAAATAATACTTTGAAGGCGGATCGTTAATTAATAAATTTATTACCGCGAATTTCTGCAGCTTTAATTGAATACCAATGAATTAGATGTATTTGTTGGGGAGGGAAAAAAGAGGCGCACTCCAATTCTAAGATTAATGATTGCATGTCTCTGACTGGTATACAATTTATAATTGTGGGGAGAGTAAATTGAATGTGGCGCTCTTGAGCAAATACGATAAGGGATTTCATAAGATCTCTCATACAATTTTCACCGATTCGAGAAATGCACTTTTGCTGGGGGTTTTGGAAATGAAAGTATACTTTCGAAATGCTTAGACGCAAGTGTTCTGTGTGCGGATTTTTCGGGGCGGGCGTGATGCAATGTAAGAGATTTCACAGTCTTTCTTCGAAATTTGTTTAGTCAATTCGATAATTGACTTTGATTGATGCACATTAGAGGAGCTTTTTTGCATCGGGCAGTGTTCGGAAAGTGTGAGGAAGTCTCCGGTCAAAATCAGCTCACCGGTCATTAGTGGATTGGCTTATGAATTGATGGTATCTTGTTAACTCAATCGACAGGTCTGAGATGTGTGTGATTACTTCGGAAATCACAGCTATTGTGGTGCGCCCGAGTGAATGGAGGGCAAATTGGATTTCCATTAGGAAAAATTGACTTTAGAGACATGATCTAGAGAGAGTCCCCCACCAAGACGTGTATGCAAATAGCCAAAGAATCTCGCCATATAACTCCGTCTGGACTTATCGTGGGCGTTCATCTCTGGGCCGTAATAAACAAATCAAGAGTTGGAAAGTTCTCTCTCTCTCTCAGTCCAGATAGGTAAGAAAATGCATTGGGGAGAAGCACGCAGGAGGGCAGAACTCACCTCCAAGGCACACGGTTCCGCAGTCACGAGCAGGATTCCGGGAGAGACGTGTCCGACGTACTTGAGCGCCCGCGTGGCAGCAGTCAGAGGCCCATTCCACCAGCATTGGGCATTCGCAGCGAGGAAGTTCTGGAATTAATTGGAAAATTTATAATTTCAATTCATGAACACGGCCCGGCTTCACCCTCACAAACTGCCATTTGCCCTTCCGGCGCACCGACGGGAGGGTTGGAAAGACACACTGTGAAGGGCAGACGAAATCAATAAATCAGAGGGGAATTCGATGCTGTGGCAACGACGAAGGAATTACCCAGTACAGATGAACACACTGGGAATTCCAGGCAATTTTTCCACCCTCTGCAGAAGAGGGAAAATCGCCTGACAATGTTGTTAATTTAATTTCTCCATAAATACTCTACTGAGACGCCTTATTTGTGCAGAAAACTCCAAACTAATTGCATCCAGAATCTCTCCCCTAATCATTCCGCCACTCTCAACACAGAATCCATCATCTGGACCTGAAATTTCATCACAACTGCACACTTCCTGACGCCTTTGGAGTGTTTTTCGAGTGTCTGCACTCTCGAGTGTTTGCCTTTTGCAGGAAACGAGAAGGATTATCACAATATAGTCAACTGCATTTGGCCTGATTTCGCTGTGAAAAATTGTGAACATAATGAATTTCCAAACAATAAATTCCTGAAACGTGAAAATTACTATCTTTTCCTGTTCTCTGGGTGAAATATGCGTTTATTTTTCCCACAAAACTCTGCTTGTTTTCCTTTTGCACTCGAGACTGTCTCAATACAAGGGGCAGATAATATGTCTCACATCTGTACACCACTTTCAGACACTTCTAAATGTATTTGAAGACATTTCTTACACTTCTTCAAATGTTTTCTATACGAAAATCTATCTTATCACAAATCTAATCCAGGGTTTTCCGTCTCAAGAAGTTTCAGTTCTTTAAACCCTTAGAAATTTTTTTTTGATCAAATTGTGAGGTTATGAATGCGGCTTAAAATTCTTTCTTCGCTGAATTTGGACCTTTTTACACCAGAAAATTAGGGAATATAGCGAGAAACACAATGTTTCTACAAGATAATGACGTTAAATTTGCGACTTTTAAGCACAAACTGCGGAAGAAACTAAGCAAAAAGACAATTTTCTAGACTAAAACACAATTTTTGAGGTTATGATTGACTTTCAAGCTTCTTCTCAATCAATATGAAGTTATTTTAAACATGAAAAGCTCAACTTTGCCAAGATAAAGAGAAATAATTCTAGATAAAATACAATTTTCATGATTTAGAGGAGTTTTTAATCAATCACATAACCTAGAAAAAGCAATATAATTAATTTTTCCAGAAAGAATTATGTAGATAATGCTCGAAATTGTTGAAATAGAACGTTTTGCAGTGCAAATATTCGATATATTTCACCATTTCTAATTCCTCAACACTTCCGTGAAGTTGTACACCACTTCCAACCGTAATATCTGTCCCTTGTTGCAATATTAAGGATGTAAGAACGTTCCAATGTAGTTTTGACACAGTATCTTTGCTGCATCTCCAGAATAAACAGAGCAGATGGCGCGAATGACTTGGGGAAGGAAACCCCTCTCGTGAGCAGTTCTCATCATTTGTATTGATTTGATGTGCCCAAGGCGAAGACGGTGAATTTCATCGTAATGGGAAAATCCCAAGTGCGGTGATAGATTGTTTGGTGAGTTTTCCCTGTGACTCCATAAATTGTGCACTCTATTTTTCCTCTCTCTCTCCGCAGGACCAAAACGATAAATATCCTTGAATTGTGGGTGTTTTCATACCAAATAGAGTCAGAGAGAGAAAACCGAACAAAGATGGGAAATGCAGTGCAAGAAAAATTCCACAGTGTGCATTTCAACATACATTGAGGACTTGGCGCCCATCCAGAGATTCCGCGCGCATCTTGGGCGTTTAATCTCATAAAACAAATTTTGCTCGGGGTGAGATTCTGCATGCAGAATCGAGGGAAATTGTGCGCTGTCGCAGTGTGTGTGCGCGCTTCATAGACGGGGATTTGTCGAAATTGCCACCCGAAGCAATGATGTGGATCAGCAACAAAAAAGACTCACAACTTTATGGCTTTGCTGCATTCTGGGCATTGTGTAAGTTCCCGCCAAAAACAAGACCACAGCCGGAGCACGAGCCACTTGTCGATCATAAATTTTCTTAAAATGCGTCGCGGCGGCAGTTAATTTCACGCCGAGATGCGCGCGCCCCGCGGGACTCACCTGGAATATCATGTAGCCCGAGTCGTACATCCAAAAGTCCTCTGGTGTATTTCCGGGACGGCTCAGTTGAATGGCCAGACACTGGTTGAGGATGAGGCGGCATCTCTGCGGCGTTCCCGGTGATTTTGTTCCCATTATGTCAATTGCGTTGACGCTAAAGGTTAATTAGAGAACGCACTTAAAGATCGTCTTGTCTTCGCACAAATAGCCAACTCCTCTGTCGTCACATTCTCCACGAGTGGCACCAATTGGCTGCTCTCCTCATGCGATTCTGCAATTTGACACCGAAAAAAGAAGTTGGTGAGAAAAAATCTACGCATTTCGGCATTGCATTTGAAGAAGATATTAAGGCTTTGTTGTATTGCTGTTATTAAATGAGTATCATCATTTCCAATATTTCCCCGCTCATTTCAAAATATCCCATTTGCGATAATGACGGTTGAGGAGGGAAAAAATTCCTCTTTTTCACGCGCGCTGTTTTGCCAAGGCATATTGAAGATTCTCTCCTATTTGCTTAGCGTTGCGCTCAAAAAGGAATTCAAATAGTATATAAACTCAGGTGTGTTAATAATTTTTTCTCACTCCCCTGGTGAAGGTGAGGCAGAAAAAAAAACCCATTTGTGATATCATCTCTTTGACGGTTAATTTATATTTCGGCTATTTGCACAAGTCCCCAGTAATGCAAACAGATCAGACGAAGTGTTTCACGGAGTGCTGAAAATTGCAAAACTTCTGTTGAAACACTCCATCAAGTTGAATGTCGCCATGGATAAAATGTCGAGAGACACTTCATGAATATGATAATCATCAGATAAACATTTTATTGGGTAAAGCAAATACTGATCTTCAGCTTTTCAAGATCATGATCATCAGCATCATAAAGTGTTTACAAATTACAGAGAAATTAACTCCTTCCCACGAAATGCTTCAATGCCTTCGCAGTGAAGATGATTAAGTCATGCCCGAAAGACACTCAATGGGACACCAATTAACTGTCAATTGCATTGAAGATGGATTTTAAGAGGTGAATTCAATTTTCGGCAGACATTCACTTTGACCTGAAAGAAAATGCGAATGAATTGGGCGGAAATTTGCCCGTTATTTATTTGAGAGTATAAGAATTTTTGAGATCATACAAATAAAAGTCACTAAAGTGACCCAGAAGAGGCGGAAGTTCTTTCGAATTTGGCAAACTTTTGGAAAGACATTCATGAGGAAAACTTGCTCGTTCACTCGCTGATATGCAAATTGAAGAGAATTCGGAATGAAATTGATGGTTTTCCAAGCCCTATTATGATCGCTTCGCTGCACTTCTCTTGTTCTTCAGTGTCAGACACTCTTAATCGCGTATCATTGAGTTGCAGTGCAGCGCAAATTCGTCACAGAGTCTGAGCTCAAGGGGAAGATTATATGGCTAGAGTCTGTACACCACTTTCTGACACTTTCCAGGACTTGAGACTTCATGGATTGTTTATAAAACAGACTAGAATCAACTTATAACTGGAGTATGACTAAAATTTGACCATAATCTAACTGAAATCTAACTGATAAGTTGAAAACTCACTTTTTTATACAATATTTTATGATTTTCTTCCGTTAAAATTGCACTTTAGCGCATTTTTAAAGTTCATTTGTTTCTTCAAACGCAATACGCAACAATCTATTAAAAAACTTAGGTTATGTTTCATTTTAGTATTGTTTCTTTGAAATTACGATTTTAAATGAGTTAAAATACGCAATTCTACCAATAAAGTGAAAATAATTTCAATTTAGGTACAAGAATTTGTATTTTAAGAAGTTATTTTGTCTTAAATCAGTCACATAACCTCAAAAAATATGTCAAAATCACGAATTGGATTAATATTAATGTCCAAAAGTAAAATAATCAACAGAAAATCAAAGCTGTGAACCCAAATATTGCATAAATTGCAACACTTCCTGTGATTTGTACACAACTTCTAACCATATTGTCTCCCCCTTGTCTGCGTTGGGGCGCAATTGAATTATGAAATGGCAATAAAGCGGCTGTTATCATTCGCGACACGGATGAAAGTTGGTCGCATTTGCAAATCTGCTGTCACGGCGGCCAAATTGGCACACATAACAACACTTTCTGAGCGCGAGTGCAAGTGATCCACTCATTTTTCATTGATTTATTTATACGCCATTGTGCAGAATCGTGTGAACAGTCTGGCGCGAGCCCCACAAAGCGCGCCACTCTCTGGACTTTCCGCGGCGGGCAAGATTAATTGGCTTCGTGTGCGAATTGGAGCCCATTTGGAAAGAGTCTGCGGTTTAACACCCCGCAGCCAAATGGCCGGTGAGAATCCCACTGTCCGCGGATGGCTTGGGAGAGTGTGGGAACGCAGCCGATGCCAGGGACTCTGTGGCGTCACAATCACTGATCACACTCCTCTTGCGGATGGCTTTGAAGAAGAGATGCTTCGGAAATTAACATCTTCTATGTTGGGAGAGAAACTCTTTTTTTTCCACTCCTCGCATTTTGATCGGAAGATTCTCAATGCACGATTTCACGTGGACGAAAGCGAAAAGATTTTTGTCAAATATTTGGCGTGTGAGACGTGATAAATGAGTGAAACACTAAACTCCATATGATTCATCATCGGAAATCAATCATCTCACGCGCATTTTCAAATAAATATTGATCCATAAGCAATATTTCACTGTCCGAAGATAAGCGCACACTTTCGCGCTCGGGAAAACTATATGGTAATGATCATAATTCTGGGCTGAAGTTCACACGATCCGGATTATTGAGGGCTCTGTGGATTCAATAAATTTTTCGCAATTTATTGTGACACACGAAACAAGACGGAGAGTTGATAAACTCTCGGCATTTGTCAAGAATCGGGGAAATTTCGCCAATGCGAAAGCGCATTGTGAAAAAAAAAGTCACCAAACAAACCGATTTAACCATCAAATTTTGTGCTTGAGAAAGCATTTCAATATTTGGCAATAGAAAATTATATATATACGATTCTATGGGACATGAAATTTATCACGGCAAAGCACGAGTCTTGTGAGTTTCTCAAGAGTCGCGCGCGGGAGTGAAATTTGTCTTTATGGGAGAGAGAGAGAGAAATGCTGCTGCATGGAATTCATCAGAGATGAGACAATAAAGCACGTACCAATCGCTTAAAGTTCAGTAATTTTAATATTGTACAAAAGAGCGGCATTTTTGCCCGGCAATCTTCTCGCCACTTTCGTCTCTGAGGGGCTTTTATGGGGTCTCAAACGGCAACAGATAAACACGGACTCCAACACGACCAGATTTCACCGTCACGACGTTGCTGGGATCTTTTTTGCCAACCGCGAGCAAACCTCCTGCATTGGAGGCATTGATTTGGGCGGCAAAACACTCTGTTTGCAGCATAAATGATGGAAACAATTGATCATTAATTTCCACAGCCACACAGAGAGTCAATCGCAACAGTTGTTGAGCCACCAGAAGAATTCTTCTAATTAAAGCTCTCTTTTTTTCCTTCGCTTTTATACTGTGAAAATTTTCCTGTGAGAAGAAATTCCTTGTTGGTGCATAAATTCACCATTCAAATCCAACTCGACCCACATTTTGGGCCACTAATTAGTGCTCCAAATTCCACAATGCACCCACAAAACAGTGCAGCCTTTGTTGTGATTGCACGCGGTGTACAGTGTGGCGTGGAAGTGTTCTCGCCCTGGGCCCCAAAATGCCGCACTTTTGCGACGATTTCCGCTGTTAAATTTCCCCCTGGGCAGATGCGCATGAAGACAATCAACGCTTTACAACCACGTGGAAATGCAATGAGATCACAAGAAATGAATATTTATTGCGACGCCACCGTCCGAGTCGATAAAACTTGAGGAAATATTATATAAAAGTCGTTGGTTTTTGAGAGAGGCAGAAATGCCTTTTAATATTATTACCTCATTTCCACCGCTAATATTTCTCTCTTTTTGTTCATTGAACAATTGTCCAATTTCATGCTGATTCTGGTGGCGTAGCATGGAAAAAAAACTGCCACTCTTTCACTCTTTCAGAAAAATCCCAACAATGAGCCTAAAATGTCGAACAATAAAGCTGATCATTTGAATCACAATGGATGTGTTTTGGGCGAAGAATATTGTTCGAGGTGAAAATTAGAGGTGAAATATATGCTAAATGACTCTAACATGACAAAACATCGTGGCCGTTATTCCTTGAATTTGAAATTTAAACACTATCAGTTCCGCGTTGACCACGAAATTTATTCCCAAAATGCTTCATTGTTCTTTCCCAAACGACAAAATGAGGCTGATAATGACCGTGAAGGTTGGCAAACGTTATCAAACGACACAAATCTTTCGGTCAGTAAGAAAAATATGTTTGTACAGTAAAAAAAATTAGTTTGGTGAGTAAATAATTTAATTGATCAGTTTTTGAAGAATAGATTTTGTCAGTATTTTTACTGGCCAAGGAGAAAAAATACTGGAAAAATGTATTTTTGGAAAACTGACCAAACTGATTCATTTTACTGACCGAACTGTAAAATCTTCTATTTTTACAACAATTTTTTTACTCATCAAACTAATTTTTTACTGGCCAAATTATTATTTTACTGAACAAAAAGAATTTTTTTACTGACCAAATTGCATTTTTTACTGACGAAACTGTAAAAATATTTACTTTACGACAATTTTTACTGGCTGAACTAATTTTTTATTTACCAAATTGATATTTTACTGGCTAAACTGCATTTCTTACTGACCAAAGTGACTTTTAACAGATCAATTATCCTTAGCTTGATCAAACATCTTCCCAAATGATACTCTGAAGAGACTTTGGTTGATGATTTGACAAATTCCCGCCGGAATACGAGTGAATTCCTGCTCATCTGGAGCTTTCCCGCCTTGGCGATCATCTGATGCCTTATGGAGTGACTTCTCTGACTTGCAGCTTGCGCTCGCGCGCTGAGGAGAATGATGATCGCGGAGAAAGATGCACTTGAGGCTATTCACGAGTTTGACGCGGGAGTGGTGCCAAATGGCAAAGTTTTTCATTTCAATAGGGCACACTTGGAATGTCTCGGCGCAGATAAAGCCTCTCGTACTTTCTTCTGCGACTCCGCGTGGTTGAAAGTAAATGGCACAATAAGATCGCAGCGCGGTTGCATTTTCAGTTTGAATGGATATTTGAGACGCTTTGACTGGGAAAGTGTAATTCTGGGATCATTTTTCCTGACAGCCTTTTCTTAGACGTGCTGCCCAGAGAAATGCGGAAGGAGTGGATTT